GCCAAAAAAGAATGGTGTGCTGACTAAAGTTGCGTGAATTTCTGCCACTGCACAAATACAAATAGTAGCAGTTTTTGCATCCTATGCCTCCATAAGAACATGAATATTGTGGCAGCCCAGTCCTTCCAAAGACAAAAAAAGTGCTTGACATGCTTGTCCAAAAGATTGAAGAACATATTGAAGCGATGGGTCCTTTTGGATTTAGCATGTTCCAACATTTCTCTTTTTGCTGCAAGAATGCCATTAAGATTCCAAAGTTGCGGCCAACGACCAATGTGTTTATTGTCTTTCGAAAGGAACTTTCTATTTCCCCACCTGCCAGGTGAGGGTATCTAGATTCTGACAAAGGTACAACTCTTCCTTCTTCCTCTTCTCCTCGTTCTCCTCCTTCCTCCTCGTCCACCTTCTTCGCCTCTTGCTTCTGCCAGCTCCAGATGCTGCGGGGCACGCCTGGGCCCGAACACCATATGGCCACCTCCGGATGCTGTGGAGGGCGCCTGATATCACCAGCTCAGGATAGAATGTCCAGATTATATGTCGGAAAGAATGTCAGATGGAATGTCAAAATGCATATGCCATATAAATGCCATATATACTTCCAGATGGATCCAGATGGTCTGTCAGAAACTATGTCAGAATAATGTATCAGGGTGAGGATCACTCGAAGTAGAATATTTTTCCATGGTATCTTCACGAGCGTTTTTGAACGCACTGGTTTTGGACCTTTCTTTTTAAGTTACGAAGTCATCAGAATCAAAGAAGCTGGAAGTTTCTCCAGCAGTAAAGTAACGCACAAATCAAGACAAAGCAAGTAAAATCTAGTAAAACATGTCCAAAGCCTTCGCAACCATAAAGTCTAATTCTGTTGAGAAGGACTTGGGTTTTTGGAAAATGGGAAGCGGATGGTTTTGAATTCCCATCAGTCCATGTCGCAAATTGTTGCCTCTCGCCTGCAAAACTTCTTCACTTGCATGTGCTATCTTTGGGCCGCTTGGGAAAACCTGTGCTCTTTCAAGTTGACAGGCCCCAGGTGCGGATTGCATCCTTATATATTGTAGCTGCCTCAACTTCAATGCATCGTGAATCTAGAAACGTCGAATTGATGGCAGCATCAGAACCTGAAATGTACAAAAATTGCTTCATGGCGTGGCTGAGCCCTCTGGCCGGCGTTTTACTGCTGTCTAATTTGAATATATTTGATGGTTTTTGGCCGGCGTCGAGAATCCACACCCAGATTTAAGCCACTGTTTGTGGCATGTGCACCTGCAAGCATGGGGAAGAAACAGGGCAAGATCTTCACAGAATTCTCGCGTACGGTTTCGTATCTATCGGATATATCGCCTTTTTCCACCACTTTCTTATTTGTTTTCCCCACTTTCTCAGTTTCTTCCGGTGACGTACAGTGTGGTCCGGTGTCGTTTTTGCCCGTATGTTCATTTTTTCCCCGCCTGCCAGGTGCAGGTCTCTAGATTTTGACAAAGGTGCAACTCCTCCTCCTCCTCCTTCTCCTCCTCCTCCTCCTTCTCATCCTCTCTTATTCTTGCGCCTACTCTGCTCGGCCTGATATCAGGCGTGTCTTTCCGAGCCATGTGGCGAGCTCCGGATGCTGTGGAGCACGCCTGCACCCGAACTCCATATTGCCAGATAGATTGCCAGATATTATATATATTAGAATGCCAGACAGAATGTCATTATGTCAGATAGAATATCAAATAGATGCCGGATAGAATGCCAGATAGAATGTCTCAACATATGTCAGATAGAATGCTAGAAAGAATGTCAGAATATATGTCAGATAGAATGCCAGAAAGAATGTCAGAATAATATATGTCAGATCTGCCAGATAAAGTGCCAGATAGAGTGTCGAAAGAAGATGCCAGGGTGGGAATATGTGGGAATCACTCGAAGTAGAATAATGTGATCTTTTGGGGTCCGCGCTGGCATCAGTGACAAGAAAAATGCAAGCAATCCTCTTCTACCCTTCACAGGTCAGGACAAAGGACGCCTTTAAATATCCCGCGTGAGATGCAGCCTGATAGAGGGTGGGGGGGTTGTATGGGACATTGTGGGACAACTCACGGGAAGGGGTGTTTTCTGAGATCAACCAGGGGAGTGGAGCACCCCTGGGCTCGAACACCTATCCCGAGCTGCCAGGACCCCAACATCATATCGCCAGCACATGTTGTGGGGCACGCCGGGCCCGAACACCATATGGCCAGCTCCGAACTCCAGTTGTTGAACTCGAACATATCTCCAGATCAGACCTGGAAAGGATAGTTTGAGGATGTTGAAGACCCACACCTAATTGACTCGCCTAAATCAGTCGCAGGGGCACTGGAAGAGTTAAAATTGACTAATCTGCCTTTTCACAAAAATTACCTAAATTTAGAAAGTTGCGTTAAAAAAGACAGCAACTTTGGTTCCGAACACCGAAATGCACCATCCTGTGCTGCATAATATGCGCGTACAGGTGCCTCTTTTTCTGATTCCCAGCTGTAAAGTCTATGCTCTCCATCATCGGCTCTCAAACACGCGCACAGTGCTAGCGGTACAGTGCAATCCAACAACCATTGTGATAACCTTGCCTGTTTTGGGGATTAATGGTTGGTTCCCTCGGTTTGTTCAAAGCGGTTGTGTCCAACAGTCATGCAGTGAGGTTTTGCTCTCCAGCTTGGGAGGCTAAAGCAGGTGCCGGTTGGTTCTGGTTTTATTGTGTGTGTGTGTTTGCAGAATGCCTTTGCTTGGCGTGAAATGCGTATGTTATCAGTTCCCTTAGGTCAAACTGTTTTCGGTGGCTAGTTCGTTCATCCTATTTCCTTCTTTTCGAATCAGGATAACCAGATCATGCATCAAATAGCATCAAATAGCATGACGTTCTCCAAAGCATGTTGATCGCATTGCCAAATTCATGGCATTTCATGGCATCTAGGAGGTGATCCTGAGTTAAAGCCCGGGGAGAAGAAGGTGGAGCTGAGCAGCTTGGGATGAAGAAATGCAGTTTTGTGGAATGGGGCATCGAAGCTGAGCAGAGCTGCTTGTTGTTGTGATCCATGATGATCCATGTTTAAGAATGATCAAACATGTGGTGCACAGTCGATTGTAGTTGTTCTGGCCTGTATTTTTTTAGTGGAAGTGGAAGAGCGTTTGCCCAGAATGATTTCCAAGACAGAAGCTCAGGCAACCTGCAAGAGCTGATGAAGGTGCGAATTGATGCCCGATTTGTGAAGACCTATGAGAAGTACCTGGCAACATGGCAGAAACATGCTGAAACATGCTGAAACCAATGGACCATGACCCATGACATCTATAGCAGTCTGGGACCACTCAATTGAAGTTGAAGGAGATCAGCCATGCTGACGGGCGCAAGCGATCATTTGCATGAAGGCATGTCAAGGCCATGCGTCAAGCTGGAGCTTGGCATTTTGACAGCCAATTTCTCCACCTGAGGATGAGGATGGCTGGATACCACGAGCTTATGTCGCAGAGCTGCACAGCTGGACCTCCATACGAGCAAACAATGCCAATGCGTTTGCTTTTACAAGTCGTGTCAAAGAAACTCACTGGACTGTTGCCATGGTGTGGGGGAGCAGAGCAGCCCAAGAACATGTTGAAATCGAGGCCGTGCTGATGTTACAGTATTTGATTAGCACGTCCTTGGCCTTTTTGTGCTCATTCTGGAACATATTAGTGCGTGCTAGGTCAACTATTATGCAGGGGCGCCGGACGGCAAGCACACGCTGATGAGTCTCTTTGAAGCAATGCAAATTATCCAACTAACTAGGCCAATTGTTGCCAGATCAAAGTCTGGGGACCGTCAACGTGAACCTGGGTGTGGGATTCTTACCGGTCAAAGTCAACCAAGTTCTTGACATTCATCGGCATTCGTGTGTTGGGAAGTGCAAACAACAAATTCGATTGAAGGGTTAGTAACGGTTAGTAACGGTTAGTATTGAGATTGCTGTGTACGAAAAGCATCCATATTCATGGGGCTTTGAAGCTTGTGCATCAGAATCATCGGACCGTCCTCCACAATGCAGTCCATGGCCCATGCAAATGTTAAATTTGTGAAGTGGTCATAGTGGTTCTTGTAAAAAAGAATGCCCAAGTGAATTGCCTGACCAGTGGGACATGCTTCAAGAAGCCATGTTGAGTGCACCACCATAGAATCATCATATATTTATTATTTGTCTATGGATTCATTCAAATTCGATCTATTTGTTTGTTTGTCTCTTTGTCTATAGTTGTGCTGCATGAATGTATGAATGCATGCAGGCTGCATACTATATGACAATATATTGCATATGCAGATCGGACTGTAATCCAGTTTTGCCATGTTTTGCCATGCTGCGAGATTGCTGTGCCATGAAACAGCTAGGGTGCAGTTAATTGATGTTAACTGTGATGAATTGCATATGCGGTGCATGAGGTGACGAGCTCATTCGCTCCGTTCATCTTTTTTCTCGTGAGCTGATCGTTGTTTTCCACCTCGGGAGTTTGACTCCAGCATCTTGGCCACAGGCTGTGGATTAAGAAACATGAAAGAACCCTCTCGGCTGAATTACCATTGCCAACACATGATATATTATGATTATTCTTATCATTAAAATTAGTATTAATCTTATTATTACTTGAATCCATTTCAGGATGGTCTCAATGAGCAGCAGCTTGAGCTTCGAATTATCCATGATTCCCTCCTGCATACAGCAAGAAGAAGCAAGCACGGAATGAAGGAAGAGGAAAATTGTGGTCACGAGATTCTGATCTCTTCTCCCCGGTTCTCCCCGAAGTCTTTTTCTTGTGCAGAGATGTTGTCCCCAAGTCCAGAGCTCTTTAGACCGGCTGGTCGGAAGCAGCAGATGATGGAGCCTTTGGTGACTATATCCTGAAGATCTAAAGATTCCGAATTTCTAAGAGATCCTAAGAGCGCAAAGAGTATAGAGCAGAGATAGCGTCATTGAAGCCTCGCTATAGAGCAGAGATAGCGTCATTGCTGGCCTCAGGAGAAGTGGACTCCAGAGCGCTACCCTCGGTTGCTGCTAATGCATTTGGCCCCTTTGGGGCCCAAAGTTCAAAAAAGTTGCTTGGTATAATTTGGTATAATTAAGACTAATTAAGCACAATCAAGCGATGTTGTTTTTGCTGTGTGTTTTCCCTTTTTTACTTATTTTGTGTGAAGACTGCCACCATCGCAACAGAAGTGGGGCGTTCAGAGCTGGCATATTCCAGCGTCCTGTAGAAGGAGAGAGCTGCAATTTTCCGTGTAACTACACCGTTTGTAGTTCTCAGATTTCTCAGATTTTCGGCGAAGGTTTCAATTACAACAAGCTCCGCACTTTGTTGGTCTCTCGTGTCCGTGTGGGCGTGCAGCTCGACTCCGACCAGTTTGTGGCACCAGGATATCGCAAAAGCTTTGGCGGATCCAGTGTGGCATGTGGCAAGTATTTTGACTTTGAGCCTTTGTTTTTCGCATTTTTTCGTGCATTACCTCTGACGCAGGAGCTGACTACATGTTCAACATGACTGAGCGGGAAATCACCAAAGACTATCCAATTCCAATACTTCCAGTGCACTACTTCAGCCGCTTGTTTTGAAGGGATTGCACGGCTTAATTAATTGGAATGACTTGAAATATCTTGAAATGTCTTAAGTCTTAATCTAAACTCCGGACAGTTGCATGATGTTCCATGTATACACAATACATGGAGGCAGCTCAGCATGTTGTTGACTTTGAAAGATGCGGATGACTGACCTCTATGAACTGTTTAAAGAGTAGCAGCATCATGCAGCATCTACAGTAGCAGCTGCAAAATTAGCAGCAGATGATAGCAGATGTTCCCTTTTCTCAAGAATGTTCAAACATGTTCAAACATATTCAAGCAAACAACAGTTGTGTCGATCTTTGAGACTGCAAGGTTTTACGCAGAAGGATGCTCCATCAAACATTTGGTGGCGTGAGCGCCTCAGGGGCGTCCGGTCGAATTGCAAGGTATTTTCCAAAAATGAATTCCACCGGTTGTGCAGACCTCATGTTGTGTGCGGTGCCTTTATGATCTTTATGTCTCCCTTCTGGGAATTCTGAAATCCTTTCTTTGCGATGTGCGGCCCCTGTGCTCAGGTCGTTTCTGCCCTGATCCTCCCAAATGCGAATTGCACTCCATGCGCTGGAGTCATGCCCATCCTACCTGGACCTTTTGGGCGCTACCATGGTTAGGACGGATCGGGATGCCAAGCTTCAGACGTGTCTTTTGTCTCTAGTATTCTCTAGTTGTGTCTTTAGTTTGCTTTTAGATATTTTATATATGTTTATATTGTTTTATGATATTTTCAGACCAGAGGGTGACATGAGGTCAGCACATGCGCTGGCTCATGCGAGTGCCTGACAGGAAAATGGCTCCGTCGACACTTCCGTGACGAAGTACTGTTGGCCGAATCTGACAAAGGGTCATTGCGCATCGCGGACATCCCTGAGGCCCCGACTTTAAGATCTTGAGCAGCGAGCATCCCAGAGCAATGTTCGGTGGGATCAGGAATGTTAGGAAAACAATATTTGGGTCTGACTATCTGAAGAATTGACCACTGACCACGGTGGTTGATCAGAGGGTTCAAGGCAATTCCATTCAAAACAAATTCATGATGCTGCTGCCGAACGTCACTCTTGTCGGGTTCAATCTAAGAGTTGCAGGGGACCCTTCAGAATCCACCCCGAAGGATGAAGACATGCTCAACGTCGCTGCCTGGGAGGACAAGGCGGATGTGATGACAGGTTGTAATTTTGTGAAGTTCGCAGACTCTCGTAAACAAATCGAGCGATAGAGAGCATTGTACCACATTGTACTATGACTATGATTTATTCAATCATAGTCACCGCAACGGAAGCTTGAGTCACATTGACATGTTGAGCTCCCAAGTTGCCGATGTTGCAGTTCCCCACCTGGTCAGGTGACAAAGCAGTGGTGCAAATTCGACAACGTATCCTGGCTGGTTGTGGTCAGGTCCAATGCCAATCAAATCCACACTGTTCGGATGAATCGTCCTTCGCATGAGTTGTGATCGAATCAGCCACTCGTGTAGAAACATCAAGAGGAAACTTGCCTGTGAGACCTCAGAACAATCCAGCATAGTTCAAAGCAGGAGCTCGCAAGCCCCCTAGCAAATGCTAGACTTGTGGCGTCTCCCAAATTGATCCGGTTTAATCCAAATGACTGCAAATTACTCCAAATCAAATTAAGAAAATTTTATATACATATATACATTTATAATAATTTAAATATATACTATATATATATATATACATCGGTGGGTGCATAAAGTACAATTTATAACTAACAGACTGAGCCAAAGCAGTGAGCAGAGAAGTCACTAGATAGACGGACGTTTGTCATGAGACGGTGTGCCTTGCGCAACAATGCAAGGATCGAACCGAATTCGAAGAGAACCTTGGCATCCCTTGGCCAAGCCGATCGTATATTCAATCCATGTTCTCGGGCATCCGGCACGAAGGACCAACGACTACATTTGACTGTAGTTTGATGTTTCATTCACTGTGGATTTATATACACATGTGGATACAGACTAGCACTGCTGCTGCTGCTGCTGCTTTTTACACCTCCCATGCATTCTGGGAGGCGTATATTAGTGCATAAACAAAAGCATAATATTTCGCATTTGAGAAGTCCTGCATAGTTTCCCTATGTTTCCCTTCCCCGGCTTTGAATCTTCAAAACAGAACGCTGAATTGCGAGATGTTAGGGTGAGGATTGTGTTCTGCCAGCTGTTTTAATTAGACAATTTTAGATCATTTTAGACATCCACCTTTCAATACTCTTCAGTGTTTGGTAGGGTAACCCAAAAGTCCACTGTAGCCTCATCATTGGCTGTCACTTTGCGAGCATTCTATAAGCGATTTGATGCTTCGTATCCTGCGTCAATACACCGGAATTTCTTACAAGTAGATTACCAGCAGACATTGACGTTTGGGTTGGTAATGCTTCTTGGCTGTATCCACAACAATTGGATGCAGCTGAGGGCTTTGCAATTCGAAGTAGGAGAGTAGTTTTTCCGATGTATTTGCATTAATGGATAACCGATTTGGCGCGACCCTTTTCCCCATTTTAACCTAAAAAAGATGAAACAAAAAAGGTCGCACCACCTATTCTCTCGATATTCTCTCCTTGCCTCCATGCCCAACTAACTTTCGTCCCCTTCGATTTGGCCTCAAGTTTGACATATAAAAGGGGCAAAGCCTGTGAGAAGCCCTGTATTGAATACCTAACGACCTCACAACGAGATGATGGATATGATTGGATATGAATCCCCCTTACCATTTCCACTACTAAAAGGGTGAACACGTGCTTGGTACCATCCTCTGATTCGTGGATAATTCAAGCAAAAAAAATGGACCCGTGCACCAGTTTTTGCAGTAAAAGGGTGTGCACTGTATCTTGTAGCGGCGTTCCATTTTACACTCATAAATCGGAAACGCATTTTGTAGTGATTTATTTTGGGATGCGTTGTGTCGTGCCGGAAACCCTATAGCCCTCTTTTACCAGTCATGCTCGGTCACATGAACATATAGCTTGGACCCTCAGACCATTTTTTGGCTCTTGACTCACGATTATTTCGTGGTAAGATGAGCCCCCAAAAAATCAAAAAACAAAACAAATAAGGTAGAGACTTTAAGACGGAAAAATGGGACAGACTTGGTTTCAAAACCCATCAATTGAATTTGAAGTTGTGCGCTCAGATCGTTTTTAGCTCTGACGATTGCAGTTCAAAACCTCTGCGCCGTGCTTTTGTCACACCTTTTTTGGCCATCACATGCGATTATTAATTAAAATCTAAATCTATCCCATTCTACTAGGTTCCTGCTCTTTTTGTCCAATAGTCAAGTTTCACCCCAGTTCAACGAATCCATGCTCAGAGTTCCTTTCACCCACAATGTCACAAAGCACAGATTCGATGCGTGATGTCCTAGTTTCTGGAAAACTTGTGTCATGCACTGCATTTTGTAGTGACACACGCGTGCACAACCTTTTGTAGAACCTACTGCGCCCCCCTCCAGATAAGCCCCAAAAAGTTCGAAAAGCAGGCTTTTTATGTAGAGACTTTAAGAAGGAAAAATGGGACAGATTTGGTTTCAAAACCAATCAATTGAAACTGAAGTTGTGCGCTCAGATCGTTTTTGCTGCCCCATAGCATTTCCCCTAGTAAATGCTATGACCCATTTAGTAGCGAATCATTATTTTTCATTGCAACCCGTTTTCACTACAAAATGTTTCCGTAAAGTCATTTTGTAGTGACCGACATTGGCTTTTGATCCATCATAAAAACACCCAAACCATTTTGTAGCAAGGGGGGTTGGTTCAGATTCAAGCTTCATTTTGTAGCATAAGGCTGTGTTTGTAAACGGTTTAGTGGGCACAACTTCTCTGCAGAATGAACACAGGGATGGATATGATTGGATATGATTGGATATGATGGTTAGTAGGATGAAACTGCCCCAACAACCTTGTTTCCGCTTGGTGAAATTATCATGATACAAGATGCCACAAGCATCTTTAGTCGACTTCCTGCATCTCCAAGGCTGGTGAAGTGGGACCCATCCATGGGTTCGAAATGTCCGCCCGGCACTGGCTGTTCCAACATCATGGCAGATGTTCGTTTCTATCCCAAAGGTGCTGCCAAGGCCGGATGGACTCCCGTAGCGTGCTGAATTGCGGAGAAATGCGGAGATATTTGTGGAGTTTGTACAGTTTTTGATGTTTTTTGGCCCCGGTTCCAGGCTTCCATGAGTAATGGATATCACTGGTAGATACTGGTAGAGTGTGTAGCTTGACTGAATGCGTGATTTCCGCAAGGCTCACTTCACTGCGCACAATGCGAAAGACCCAAAGGAGACAGCCAGGCATTGACAATTTAATTTGTAACGCAGAATGAAAGGATGTCATACCAAATCAAGATTGTTTTGATGACACGGAATGGTAGTATATATGGCAATTGTGGACGTTAACGTTGTTTGGATTCACACGGAGTTTAGCGGAGATTTCTCCCTTGCATCTACAATCATCTACAGTCAAACACGTGCAGGGTGCCAATGTAGTGTGGCTTTAGAGGTGGATTGACCGGATCAATGCTCGCTACAAGAAGGGCCTGTACCCGACCAAAGTGATCGTCTACCAGGTGCCAAGAGTCCTCAGAGAATGAGAAAGACCTATTCACTCAGATGAGAAGTAATATATAATTATAATTATAATATAATATTATATATAATATACGTATACATATATGATCATACATGTTTGGCACTGACAAGTTTGGGTCAGCAGCTTCACATTAATTTACCACCTTTAACTTGGTAGGGCCGCCTCTTCGGTGATGGCGAAGAGCTTCGCAAAGAGTTTCCAGCAATGCCCTGTTTGTTATGACGGCGATGTCAGATGTCGCGTGCGATGTCCCTGGCGAAGAGAAAAGTGGCGGCACCCATTGAATCATGGAACGCGGGTCGACACGCAGGGGCGAGTAGTGGGATTCGATAGCACCCTTATCGTTGAATGTTGCAGTAGGTGTAGTTGTCTTCGTTGTGGCGCTAACTTTACTTTGGGCAACATAACTGGACGACCCGGGTTCGAATGTTCATCATGTTTCTGGATGCCTTACTTTTATGTGAACTTGGTCCACTTGATTGGTTGTGACTTGATCTCTGGGTGAGTCATGAGTTTCCATGATGTGCTTCGCGTGTGGACACACGGGACTACATTAGAGATAGGATCTCTGGCTGTTCATGTGGGTTTGCATGAAGTTTATCGCCTGTCATGTGGACACATGAGTTTCGATTTAGAGATGTGAGTCTCTTGCTTGTCATGTGAGATTAACATGAATGTTTGGACCTGTCATGAGGATTCATGACAAGATTGCTAGCTGGCCACTAGCGGTTTGGGCGTAACGGTTTGGTTGCGCGTTTAGCGTAACGGATTGGTTGCGCGGAGGGCCGCGGCGTTGGTGGTGTTCAGTGTTTCTTGAGCACCCACCCGCCCGCCCTGGATTTAAGTTGTCAGCGGCGTGGCTGATAGAAGACGTTTGACCGTGGTAGGCGGTTGTTGTTTCATGCTGCATGGATTTTGAGAATTTCTTGGGTGCAGTGTGTTTTTCCACCACACCGTAGGAAGAAAAGTTAGTACGGACACGATTGCGGTTCTGCAGGGTTTAATGGAAGAGTGAGCTGATGCATGGCAATTAAAGTTTGGTTTTGCCTGTTGTGGGGACTGGAGTGGATTTTGGGTGTGAACCTCTTACTGTACAGTTGTATTTGGACTTCAGCAGAGTTAATAGGACCACAGTAAGGTAGGATCTCGGGAACCTCTGTCTGGAATGTTGTGTTTAAACTTTGGCTGGTTGATAGGACCAATGTGCGGTAGGATCCCTGGAAGCTGAAGCGAGATTTGGAGCAATGCCTGCATTATGCAGTCTGAAAATCTTTAGCTATGTGTACTCTAACGGGCCTAATGGCATCATGTGGAAACATGTTGGACAGCCGTTAGCGCCAAGGGACCACAAGACCAGAGCAGTTGGGTTCCCCCCCGCTGGACTTGGAACGGAAGCAGTGCTCCAGGAACAAGTTGACAGGGTTTGGAGGGTTTCTTTGTTTTTATTTTCAGCTTGAGACTTGAGATGCATGAGCTGACCCTGAAGCAATGCTGTTTGTCTTCAAGCTGTAGGCCCCATGTACTGCTAGGGGAAATGTGCTGCCATGTGCTGCCAGTTGACCAAAAACCCCTGTCGATACCCTACCGAATCCCAATAATTACATGTGGAGACGAGGGTGACTGTATAGAATCATACTTGTATGTGTGGTTGCCAGGAGAAAAAATCAACCGTTTGCACGGTGCGATGCAGCTGATGTGAGAAATCAAAACGGCAAGACAGACATGCTGAGCATACCAGGTGCAGAGAAAGACAGGAAGCTTGCGCGGCCCCTACGCAAGTCTTGGGCATGCGTGAGAACATGTTTTTAATACACGACCGTTTTCACGCCATATTGTTCTGCCTGCCCAACCGATCAAATCAAAAATTCTACTGTATTGCCCTCATCTCAGCATTACCAAAGAGACCAAGTAATTATATAGGAATTCTAGATTTGTTGGGTTTGTCGCTGTGTCGCTAGTACTTACATGTCTCCCCAATTACTAGTTATTTTGTCCATTTTTGTCCAACATCCCAATTTCCTGGCACATGATGCTTCTCTTGCTCTCTCTTTGGCTTGCAAGGGGACGGGCCCTTTCTGATTGACAAAACCATCTTGAATCTTGACATTCTTGCGAGCTGCAGGTTCGACCTAGGACATGATGCGCGCACAAGACGTGAGGCGCCCCACTCTTTAGTCCTTTACCTGTTTCATCCTGGGGCCTTGCACCGTTGACGTGCAATTATAGGGCGTAGGGCTCTTGGTTTTCACAGGCACTGACCTTTCCTGTGCATAGTTTTGATCAAATGGATTGTAATCATGAGGATTCTCAACGTCAGCACTTGCCAGTCCTCAGATGATGTTCGCCAAGACCAAGGCAGTGGTGCAGCACCTGGAAAAAAACACACCCATCGACTCACCTTATTCCGCTCACTGAGCCATAGGCATCCAACGCTCTGCTCGTCGAACTGCACAGCTCTCAGTGACTTTCAATATTGGTTAATGATGTTCAACGCTAATAAATCTAAAATAACATCTAATCACAGTTGTTTTGTTTGCCCCTTTGTGCTTGGCTTCAGGCAGAGACTCCCAGAACGCTTCAGAAAGGCGAGCTGAGCAGATGAGGATCCTGCTTCAGGGACTTGTTGTAGTCGTTTGCATTGAGAAGTGTTGAGAAGTGTGTTTCGCTTTCGATGTTTTGATATCGAATATATATATATATATAATTATCCATATGCATGCATATATATATATAGAGAGAGAGAGAGGAGAGAGAGAGATCCCACAAAGATAAGTTACTGTACTACTTGTACTTGAAGAAACACATGCCTTGTGAGAAGCAGAGCTTCTTTCAGTGAATTTCCAAGTGGCAGTCCATGCAGACCTTCCCTGATCTCTTTCTCTGCGTTCAGGTGCTGGGGATTCCCAAATGTCAAGGAAGCCTTCGCAGGCTGGTGTGAAACATGGGCAACTTGGGGATGGGCTAACCTTGCCAGCCGAAGCTGACACGAACCCCGGAGCTGGTTCCACAGCAAGGCAGCATTCACTCGAGCCATGACCATAAAGCAAAGTTTTGGCTATGTTACCCATCTAGTGCCGGCTGGGCATCAATCTGTGCTTAGAAAATCATTGTGGCATATGCAGTCTAGGTGCTCTTGTGTTTGAGCCTGCTGCCGCCAAAGAGCAGTCACAGTCATTGTCCAGCCAATGCCGCAGGATGGACCGATCCACTCCGCTTCCCTCAAGCCAGCGGTGAAGGACGTTGCATCATGGTGTTTCCAAATTCTCAAGCTGCTCAGTGACTTCCCTGGAGAGGCCAACCCTGAGTCCTCAGACGGTGAGCGGTTGTCTTGTACTTCGGCAGCTTCAGTTGAGTTGGGCGCAGGTGTTATGGCAACCTTCAAATCCAACATGATCCAAAATTATATAACATCCTAAAACATATCAATCTCCAGTAGTGACCATCAGAACAAAGGCCGCAATTTGTCAAGGCATGGAGGTCAGACATCTTAGGTAATTATATGATGTAATTATTGCATCTTTGCCGCTTGAGGCTGGCACCACCTGTTTTTTCCATGTTGGTACTGTCCTTTATCAGTTGTTACCACCCGTTATGTCCTGGACTGGATCCTAAGGAGCGAAGAAACTTCCCAAAAATCAAGGTATGAATATAGATTATATGTGTATATATTCATATATTTATAGATCATAGTAGATCCATCAGTGGCCCTCAGACTTCCAGTAAGCCCTCCTGACTCGGGGGTGTATGATGTCAATGTTTCTCCGTTTGCACCTTTGTTTGAGGTCATGGAAAGCAAATTTCTACGCAAAGTGTTTGGAAGGAGCAAAGTTTCATATCAATGCAGACCCTGCTATGACTTGCTTGGTGAGGGGATTGAGCCCTGGATTTTTCAGAGTCATTTTGTGCTGGGAGGGCGACTCGTGGTTGTTTTCGTGCTTGTTTTCCCTGTTGCTTCTCATTTCCCAGGGTAGCTTTGGGACAATCTGCTGTTATCCCGGTATCAATTCCTCTCAACATGTGATTGCAGAACCTGAAGAAGGATTTTCATGTGTTCAGTACATAACAAGACAGATTGAGCAACTAGTAGACAGAGAATCACAAGATAAGATGCCACAGCATCAAAGATGGAGGAAAAACCTGCTGCTGGAGCGCCTACAGCGCACCACAGGCCTTTGTCATGTCAGATTTCATGGTTCGTCTCATGTCATGTTTGCCTCCACTTGATACCACTTGCACTTTGCACGATAGTTCCGGCCAGTGCCCTTTTGATGTACTTGGCTGATCGGATGTTCGCAGCTGTTGGACAAGAGTCAGACCCCAAGGCGCTTTGATACGCCTGCCGGAACTGCCGCGCTGATGGGCTGGGTGCTCATGGAATGCCCTAACCGTGACCAGGACACTGAAGAAAAAGATTTTGTAGGTGTTTTGGGTAATGGTTGGTTGGTCGCTTGGCAGTTGATGCATTTTTTTCAGAACAGATGTCATGTGGTCGTCACTTCTTTATCCTTCTGGGTCATAAGGATATGCGTTAAAATAGTTGGCATCCATGTTTGCGGAGTAAAATGTGCAGGGTCAGAGTAGAAAATGTGTGTGTGTGTGTAACTTCTGAGTGGATGTGGATATCAAATGCATCCAAATTCAGAATGTCCGACAGAAGTGTCACGTGCTGCATATCAAGCAGGTTCATCTTTGCAGGGCGGCTATATGGCTATATTTGACATTATTTGACTACAGTTGCAGCAATATGTTGCAACTCTCCATGTGAAGCATTGTGAAGCTGAACAGAGAGGCCCCGCCCCCATTTCAAATTGTGTGTCACTATCCTGCAACCGTCACATTTGCCACGTATTGCTAGATACGGGTGCAGCCAGCTCAGTGTTTGGTGTAACCAGCTGGATCCATTTAGCGGCACTCCTCAGTGACAATTGTATGCCCACATGTGTGTCCATTGCTGCAGTTTGAATTGAAATGTTGTAATGAGCGCACGTGAACCTCGGGCCAGATACAAGAAAAAAGGCTTACCATGGCGTACTGTTGATCGACAGTAATGCTTCAATATGCTTCAGCATGCTTCTGCACCCTTTATATAATTTGATATAATTTGCATCAGATATAGGTTTGGTATAGAAATGTTTGAAATTTACTCGTTTATTCTAACTGGGTTTCTACCATTTTGGTGACCTTAAAGCAACTTCAAGTACTGTAAAAGCCTTTCCTGCCAGCAAAAAACAGTCGCCAGATGTCCGCGCGCATGGTTGCCATTCACCTTTGTGTGCAAGATAACCCATCCAACACAATCCAACACACACTATATATCTTGGAACGTTTCAAGGTCGAGCCCGATCTCAGACTCCGGACTATCATAGACGTTATTCAGAGAATGCTTTGGGCCAGCACCTCAACCATGAGTAGACATTGACAGTCATTGACGTGATGGGACCTTAAATAACTTGACTTGACCTTCCTAATATTCCTACCTTTGCTCTGGCTAAGGCACATCGCTTCCAGGGTGTCACTCCCTGAAGGCCTATGTTGTTCCGGTTCATGGGACACTCCATGGACACTCCATGTTTGATGTCGTACATCGCAAGGACATTTCCCAACCAGAGACTCCACGTTGCCGACCCAGAAGGCTGGACGCATTTGGACGCCTTGAGACTCCAGGACTTTGACTTTGTGCCTCGATGTGCCATAAGGCCATGGCAAGCCCACTAAACGGGTGTTGGAAATGCTGGAACAAGCAGAGCAATGCAGAGCATTAAATCATTGTCCTTTAGAAGTGTTTCAACAGTTCAACAGTCGTTGTTCCTGCCTCCTTTGTCACGTCCCAATCGACACCATGATTCACATGGCTATTGGCTGCCTCGTACGGTAATTTGATGTAATTTGCATGTTTCTCGGCTCAGGGATTTTTGCTTGCAAAGCACCTGTTTCCATGTAGCTGCATTGCCACTCACTTGGGCTATGGCTTCGTGCTTTCGGCGTTTTCTCACGGTAATTTCTTTCTTCACACTAGCACTGGGTCTTCGTACAGCTCTTGCCCTTCGTGGGGTGGCTGGGACAGAATTATATAACGCGACTTTGGAACTTCTGTCTGTAGGCCAAAAGAAGCAGAGCCAACAACTGTGAGTGTGTACTATTTTTATCTATGTTTAAGACCAAAAAAGGCCACCGTTAGGTCTCGCAAGATGGCCAGCACTGGATAGTACAAGCGTTTGGGTTTGTCCCTGGCCTGATTTGGTTGGCTCGGTGCCCATTGGGATGGTTTACACATAACATTTGGATACATTTGGATACATTTGGCAAATAATGTAGCATCTTCTTTGCCACAACTGGCATTGCAACACAGGGCCGATCATTGCTGGGCCATCAGCCTTTAACTTAGGAAGATAACCAGGAATCTCATGCCCTTGCGGTGGTCGATCCGAGTGATCCCAGTGATCCGAGTGGAGATAACCAGGAAAAGTCAGCCGCGACTGACATTGCTTCGCAGCGATCCGCTGCGCATTTTTTTAGATGGATGATGAAGGGGCAGTGGCATCAGCATCAGTGGCAGTTTCAATCAGTTTCAGAATTTATCATCCCATTGGATGAAAAATGTTAAAAAATTGACTGGAGCTCTTATGTGTGTGCAAAACCATATAAAAATGTGATTCCCTTTCATTTGTATGCATTTGCTTTCCCTGAGCACAGGACCTGGAGTCAACGGTGTTGGAAACACCAGAGGCCCCCAGATTCAGCAGAATCATGGGAGTTCTTGGAAATGGGGACTGCAACCAGGTGAAACGTTGGACGGAGAAGAAATTTCATGACCTAATTATATAATGTTAATTAATGTTATATATATACATATATGACCTTGTATTCACAAGTCTAAGTTTCAATCAACATCCAAGAAAAGTAAGACACACCGCCGATCTCCCTGAGATGGCGATGGAGGGAGAGGGGGAGAGAGAGAGAGAGAGAAAGAAAAAATAAAAAATGAAAACGACAAAGATGCAAGCCCATGCGTGCGCAAGGAAACTTGACTTGGCCCATTCGAACATGTCAAAACTGACTCACGGGTCAATCTTCTCAGTAGACGTAGCCAGGAGTTGGAAAACTTGGATGACTTCCTCGATGGTATAATGGCCGACCTAGAGGAGGAAATGCTTCATGCGATGCCATGATTGCCATGAACTCTGGCCCAGCTTGAAAAATGTTGAATAAGCAGAAATGACCTGCCCGCATCATCCCACATCTATGTCGTTCTATGTGCAGAGTCACTGCACTCCTCAATTTCTTCAAGTCCTGGGTCTAAGGAGTGTGCGAAGCGCACCTGCGAACCCTTGTTCCCCATCAAGATCAAGCATATTCAAACATGATCAACGCGTTTCCAGCACGTTACACCCCAGAAGGACGAGGATGAGGACGAGGATATGGACGAGTTGAAGTGGTCTCCAGAGGCAGGATAGTGGTGTAAGAAGTCCAGGGAACAACTCAGATCAACTCAGCGCTTCTGAGTCGCTCTCTGATGGTGGTGGAAGTATCACTCACTGGGGGTAGTTGCAAGATGCCAGAGTGGACACCATCCAGTAGTGTAGCGCCCATTGAAAGTGGAAGGCCGTTTGCGTTTGGAACTTCAGATGGTGACATGCACGTAAAGTTTTGGCCAGCTCGCACGTTATAAAACCAAGAATACCAAGATTCGGGAACAACACGGTCGCTTGCCCTCATATGAAGCCGATACTGTACCTGTACAGACAGCGGCCCTTTACATCATCTCGTGCCGACAAGATAAGCATGGAATTGGAATTTAATTAATTAAGATGATTTGAAGATTATTATTCGATATGTTTAGTTGAAGTATGTTGAAGTGAGAAAGGACCTTGAACGAGAGACCAAGAGTGAGTCGACCTTTGACCCTCGGGCATCAGGAACTCGATGAGATCATGAAGGCGCAGGCAAGTTTCGAAGTGGCCCGTTGTGGCCTTCTTGAATGTTGTTGCACGTTGGGCCAAGTTTGGTTGGACGCACTTGTGCGGTTCATGATATTTCGATATATTTCGGGGATATTTCGACGATGCAGAGCAGGAGTTCTTGAAGCAAGTGCCACTGAGATCCACTGAGCAGGTGTTGACATGAATTGATCGGCTTAGACCTTGGAGTCGAACTCCAAGTGATCCAAGTGTTGTAAAATGAGAGCATTTCCGAGAGCATTTCAAATTTCCTCCGTTTTTTCCAGGAAACCTTGGGAGGCACCACGTATAGGCAGCACAAGTGAATCTATGATCTTTTGCAAGGGCCGTAGCACATACCCTTTGAAGGCAACAAAACCATACAAAACCCATTTTTGGGGCGGGCTTGTGTAGACTTTGTGTGGGGTCGCCCAAGCACCCAAGAACATAGACATGCAATTTTAGGACCCGGATGCGTGGGGCCACAGGAGCAGGACAATGATGACAAGTTGAGCGGGTCTGAAAAGGCAGGATACATCGGGATACTGTACATAGTGACATTATGTGACATTATGTGACATTCTGGTTTAAGCAGTCCAGGGAAGCAACTCAGTGCCATTCCTCGTCACACTGTTCAACAACCCTTGTTTCGTTGCTGTTGTGTGGCGCTTCGATTCTGGTAAAAGTATTTGGGGGCAAAACGCAAGCGCGGCCATGTACACAAGATTGTGGCCACAAGATAAGCACTGAAGTGGAGCTGACTTTACGATATGTTTAGTTGCAAACAGGGTGGGCGACATTGAATTCGTGACATTTCGATACATTTTGGGGATAGGGTTTCTGGAAGACATGACATGTTCTACTGGCCTGGTGTCACGGGGCAGTTTGCAGGCATTTCCTGTTGAATTCCGGGCAATTCAACAGATTTCAACAGCATGGTGCCACAGGCTGAGAAAACGGAGGAGAAGCTCGATGTGCTTTCTCCGGAGGCAGGTTGAACAGTTTGACATAGTTTGACACACGGCACCTGCATGCTGAGTGCTGTTTGCGCAGCATCTTCCAACAGTGACAAGTCCCAAGTCCATTCCAAACTTGCGGATGTCAAACGCATGTGTGTTGTGGTGGTGCCCCCATTGAAGATTCCATGGGCTGATAGGAGATAGAGGACCTGCTAAGCGACGTCAATGTCGAGGTAGGGCTTGAGGAGGCGACGTCGCACTGCACAGTGTGGTCACCAGTGCTCATGTGATCTCATGCCGTTTCACACGTAAGAATCCTGGGTTTCCACCTATCCAAACAAGCGTTTGTCAGCACTACAATGTCACTACAAGCGATATCAAGCGATGCCCGGTTCCATCCCCTGTTTCTCAGTTGCCATCACAGGAAGGAGATCAAGATCAAGATCAAGACGATGAAGTTTCTTGCCTGAAATGGCCCCCGTTGCCCCCTAGTTGGTGTATTGAGCGAGTATGAACAAGTATGAACATGCCCAATTGATCCCAATTGCCTTGGCCGACCCTGATGTTTCGGGTCAACTTTCTTGGGCTCAGGATGTTTGAGAGATTGGTTCAGCGAAACACCACAACCCTCACCCTTCATTGCACCTGGGTACCGACCGAGTCAAGGCTTGCACGTTCTCCAGCGATTCAGAGAATCTAATGGACTGGCTCCGAGAGACCAAGAACTCGAAAACTGACGGCTGCCAGGAGATTGGGTCGCCATCGGGTAGCGGAATGGTGAAAAACTGTTCAAGCAGATACAGGTGCACTGCACCTCACTAGTATGTGTGTTCCTCTCAAATATGCATTTGGCAATGGTGAGATTTTTCCTGATTATGCAAGCATGTGTGTAGGTGTGCGTTTGTGTGTGGGTGGTACTGTAGATGGTAGAAGCCCCTATGGATATGTACTGAGTGTGACATGTGAAAGATTTGCACAACGTATCAGAGCCGCGGCTTCATACAGGACCTCAGAATACACTGTACCGAAGTACTTGTTTGATGTAGTGAATGTCAGAATGTAATGTATTATAATATATTATAATTATATGAATATTATATGGTACAATTATATGTGTTGTGTGATTCTTAGCCGCCCCCCATCGTTTCGTTTGGTTTGCTTGCATGTCAAGCTGTAGGTAGTTTCTGTGATCTTCTTGTTTCAGTGCATGCCAGCGAGCAGTCTCGTCAAAGGGAAATGGATTGACCGGACTTCCGGTCAGCTCCAGCTAGCTGGGAGGATTTTGGTCCCAGATTTGGCCGGTGGGGAGCTCAAGCATGCCCTCCTTTGCAACTCGGTGGCAGGCGGAGCTCCCTTGTGACATTGGTCCCGTGGCTGAGGAATGATGAGGAATGCAGGATCGACCAACCTGTGCTTTCCATGTGCATTCCAAGGACGTCCATCATAGCAGATCTGGAAGCTGGCACGAAAGAAGCAACTGGCGGGAAGAGTGGCACTAAACCAATCGTATCGAAAAGATTTGCGCCAGCCTCGGTAAGCCCAGGTGATGATGGTAGAACATTGCAGCCAGATGGCATCCAAACAAAGCTGCAGGGAACAGACTCTTCAAGACTTTCTTTCGTCATGGGCCATGGGCATCAAAATGCGAACTCTCTCAATGCCGCTGCACTCTGAGGCAGTGAAACTGATTGACAATGTCGAGCACAAGATGCTGCACAAACTCCTGCACAGCCTGAAGGGGTCAAGGCTTCTTGTAAAATCTTGTTGCACATGAGAAACATGTTTGCTTTTGCTCCTGTACTGCTTGTTGAAGCGTGTGATAAAGCCCCTTCTATCCTTCAATCATTTTAGCATTCATTTTGCAATATACTTGCGTCCAAAGATTCGCGTTTCCATATTCATTTGGGAGTTGTCCTAAAACCCATGCAAGGCTTTTAGTATCCGAGTGACATCTGCAGATATGGATGTGTATGTCTTGCTGCAGTGGCGAAAGGCCGCGAAAGGGCGGCGTAAGGTTCGCGAAAGGTCTGAATACCATTATATTTATAAACTTATAAGTAAACGAAAACCTGATCATAATCTCATGTCCCGATTCTGCTGGGGCGCGAAAGGGCGCGAAAGGTTCGCGAAAGCGCGGCGTAAGGGCGTTGTCGGGTACCATAATTTTGGACAACCCCCATTTGGTGACCACAAATCCTTGCAAATTTGTTGCGCAATGTACAAACAAGTGAATACCAGGTAGTGTCCAGCGGAAGTTTCGAAAAAAAAAACAGCTGCCACTGTATAAGAAATCAATGGCATATAGGAAAGTGTGTGAGATGCAAAAGCAATGAAATGTTGTGAAGTTGTGAGGTGGGTGCATCAACGAATGAGAAAATGGTGGCTGAGATGCCACTGAAATGAGATGGAAGAATCCATGCGCAACTGACTGAACGAACCAATGAATCGATGAATCAACGAATCAGTGAATCACTGAATCAAAGAATCAGAATCAATGACTCGACGATTCAATGAATCAATGAATCAAATCATCAAGGAATCACTGAATCGTTCAACCATTGTCACTGAATCGATGAATCAATGAGTCAATGAATCAGAAAATCAACGAATCAATGAATCCATGAATGAATGGTTGAACGGTTCAGTGGATCAATGAATGAGGGAATCAATGAGTCAGTGAATCACTGAATCAAGGAATCAATGGTTCGATGATTCAATGAACCTACGTATGAATCATTAACGGTTCAATGAATCAAGGAATCAATGAATCAATGAAATATTGAATCGACATATAAATACCAATGAATCACTGAATCAAGGAATCGATGAATCAATGGTTTAACGAGTCAATCAATCAATGCATCAGTGAACCAAGGCATAAATGAATCAATGAATCAATGACTCGACGATTCAGTGAATCAATGAACCAAATCAATCAACAAAATCAACAAATCAATGACCCCGTGAATCAACCAATCAATGAATCAAGGAATCAATGAATCAATGAATTTAGCCAACCTTATCCTCCCAAAGTGCTCCGATCCATTCAGTTTTTTGCGATTTTGAAGTGCATCGAGCTCTCCCTACAGTCCCGTGCACATTTTGCCGACCTCATCTTCCAAAAGCGCTTCGATCCCCTCAGTTTTTGGCGGTGCAAGAGAGATAAGAGAGATAAGATTGAACGACATGATGGACAGGATGAATGGATGGATGAGATGGATAGGAGGAATGGATGGGCGGACTGGTGGATGGATGGATGGATGGATGGATGGATTGCTGGATTGATGGGTGGATGGATAGGTACATATGGTAGATTCTAGATTAATTGTGGTGTAATATATATATATATAAATATATATATATGTGTGTGTGTATTATATATGTGTGTTTGTGCTTACTTAAATATATAGCTACATGTACCGTATATCGTGCTTTTGTGCCCTTGTTTGGGACGTCAGTATCGGTGCAAAGCTATTCTCGTTGGAGGCGTGATTCATTTTTGGTGCCAACTTGCCGCAGTCTTTGCTTCAAGGCACGGAATGGGACAAGGCCACAGTCATTCCATGTTGTCACTAACGTGGGTCCGAAAATTGGGTACCCCATGGTACCCATAAGTCTGTCCACTGGTTAAGCATCCTTTTCTTCAGTAGAACATGGTGTGTATTGAAATTAGCCAGAGAAAGCAAGAGCAAAGCGGATAGGTCAGTGGCAAAAGCGAACTCCGATATGTTCAGATCACCCCCAACATTCTACTTCGAGGAGTTTGGGGTGGGCAGACGGTGTGGTTGGTTGCAAGGTTGATATTGCAGCCTGGTTCTTGTTTTCGTGCAGATTCCCTAGGTGTCAAAGCCAGTCTAAAAGTCAACACCTTGGTTGATTAGATAATGTATGCTAATGTTTTATGCCCTTTGATAGTCCGCATGATGCTACACTCGCCTTTGCAGTACAAGGCGAGATGAGATTTTTTGTCATTCCTTATTGTACTTCCCAGTCCACCCACCCTTCAAGCAATGGAGTTCAAAGCTGCCGCAGCGTTGGTCGTCCTCTCATGTCCTCATTTAAAATCCGATTGATTCTTCATGACACGTGACAGTTGTCCACATTGTTTCTCAGTGCCAAGGGATGATGAATTGTGTGGAAACAAGTTGTGAGTGACGTCAAAGAAAAATGGCAAAAGCCTTGTGATTTCACTAGGGTCCATGAAATATTGCAAGGCCGTTGTTGGCGCAGCTACAAAACCGGACATCTCGCAATGACAACCAGACTAGAACTGAGAGAACAAAAATGGGCAAGGCATGGCAAGGTAAGGCGTTGCTCTACAGACTCTACAGTCTTTCGGGATGATCCGGGAGCAGTCGAGGCGCTGCATTTTATCCAATTCAGTCGAGGCGCTACAGTCCTTGCTTGGCAACTGCTCCTTTCCGCTGGCAACGCCTTTGACGCAAAAAGATGCAAGAAGTCCTTCCAGACCTCCACAGTAAAAGTATGTAAAAGTGGTGCCCACAACTGCCACTGGTTTAACTTTCTTGCACAGTTTAACATGGTTCGTCCTCTTTGAATGGCTGGTGTCATTGTCTAGGTTCAAAGTCATTTTATACGTATTGGCATTGGGGTTTCAAGAAAGGCCCTGTTGCAGCTGTAGAGCTGTAGAGGCTTATGGTTTTGCATGGTTTTGCTTCTTCACTTCACACCACTGGTTTTTAGATGTTTTAGGTCTGGCAAGAGTGGAAACTTGCTTGCAAAATTTGAAAGCTAGCGGCAAATATCGTCTAAGAATACCAAAGGACCTGTGATTGGAAGCACTGGGATGGCAGAAAGGGTAGCCAAAATTGTGCGCGTTTTGGCGTGTGTGTGTGTGTGTGTTTTTTTTCCGTACACACCTTTTTACGTCCAAAAGGTTCGTGCTGGCCGCAGCTATTTCAAGCCGGTTCCTGTCGGAAACAAAGGGCCGTGACACCAGGAAAAAGAAATTGGTGAAAATTGATCCGTCTCTGCCAGCTCAATGTGATCAGGTCTCAATCCCTGGAAGGGCGGTCAACATCGTGAACATTGCTTGCATGTCGATCTCACGCTGGCTTGGTGCATGAGGGGACAGAGGTCCATGCGTCGGCAGCTGCAAACAGTCGGCACGCAGGAGCCACACTGATGTCAAATGCTCCCGCATCCATGTAGGAACCTGCCAAACAGGCGCTGGAGCCATGTTGTCCTGTGTCAGGAGCCATTGGAACGGGTTGATCTCTTCCGTGACTGTTGGTCGGACACGTATCACCGCTCTGCAGTGCCCTGCCCCATCCTGACCAAAATGTGCCGCTGCAGCAACGATCACATACTGTGCATGTTCACAGTCAAGCCCTTCGCCTGTAAAACATGGAAATCTCACGTCCGCAACCATGTCAACTGCACAAGTGTTTCTGCCAACGGTGCCCCCTTCCCGGTTGTACATGCGGTCCAATTGTACACACAGAATCGGCGTGGCAGTCAGCAGCGCTGCTTTTTGGCCTTGTACCTGATGCCAGGTGACAACAAGATCTTGCAACGTACAGTGACCAGTGCTGTTGTGTGAAGAATCAAATTGCAAAACCAGAGGCATGTGGCGAGAACCAGAATCTGAAGTCTCAAAAATATCACCATTTTGCACACGGCGTGCCCAGCTCAAGTCAATTGCAGGAGCACCCAGCCATTCTACAAAAGTATTGGTGAACTCAGAAACATCATTCTGTCCAAGTTCAAAGCCCCCAAAACGCACAAGCTGCCGGAACCAAAGCTCCGACTCCAAAGCTGCCAACTGTCCAGCAGTCCTGTGGAGGAATTGTTGAATCATTCCAAACTTGTCTCCCCTGGTGCCAAGTGAGGCATCTTCAAAACACACCAGCGCCCACACTGCACAGTAGAAGGTGCAATTGGCAAAGCACCAATTGTCTGAGTTCTGCAGAATCAGATGCATCATCCAAAGCGCGGTGGTCTCCAAGGAGATCCTCATGCCTTCGGTTTGTAAGCGCCTTTCTTCCCCTTGCCGGTGCCTTTCCTCGTCGGGGTGCGCAGCATCGTCTGTAATGACTGAGCCAATTGACTGGGTCGAGGTGAGTGCACTTTGAAGGTTGTGCCAATCAGCGCCCACATGCTGTTGAAGGTCAGCTGCATCAGGAGGTCCCATAGCTCGTCCCGCCTCAGGCAAATCTGAAGGCGCCACACTATCACGTCCTGTGTGGACTGAGGATTCAGGGCGTGGAAACGGACAATGGCCGTCGGATCCCGCACCATCTCCAGTAGCTCCTCCAGGTGCTGCATCAGCTTGGCCATAGTGACGGGCTTCTTGGAGGTTTGGCGGAGTGCTTTCACTTTGGGATCCCATTGGAGATAGGGCCAGCTGAGTTCCTCTGTCAGCAGTCCCTTCTGTTTCATCAGGAGCACCACCTCGTCCTCTGGAGAACTCTTGGAGATCTTGGTGACCCGGTTGAGGAGGTCCGTCAGCAGGGCTTTCAGCAGGTGCTGACGCAGAGGCATGGTGGCCAGAGTCTTGGTCTCCAGTTGTGCCTTCCAGCTCTGGGTTTCCTTGACCAGGGTCTGGAGTATGCCTGTTGGTTGCACCTTGTTGCAGAACAGCATGAATGTGTCTGATTGGTGCCATCCTGTGATCTCCTGCTCGTGTCTGAGCGCCAGTCGAGCTACCATGTGTAGCATCTGGCTCAGCCCCAGGAGATTGGGGGCCTGCTGCTCCACGGCGTCGTCTTTTGCCGGGCCGTGCTCCTTGCGTCTCTTGGGGTTGCGTGGATCGGGAGACAGCTTCAAAGAACTGTCGAGCAGAGTTTGGAGCCCCTGAAAGGTGGCCAGAATCTCCTGTTGTGAATCCAGCTCCGTCATATCCAATTCGACCCCCATTCAGGACTGAGGCTAGCAGCACAGATATCTGCAGAAGACACGGGCAGTGACAGAGCAAATGGGATTGAGCCAGCGTCTTGCGATTCTGGTGTTCTGAGTCAGGAACAAGCTGTGGAGGCAAGTTGAAGATTTGTTGACAGTGCACACAACGATAGTCATCAGGGCAGCATCCCAACAGCACAGGCATCAACTGTTCCATATAAAACTGAATGGATGCATGCTGACAGATGTGCACTTCACGTAGATGAACTCCAAGTTCAGGGGCTGCATGTAGAGCTCCACATTGGAGGCATGTTGTGCTCAGAGAGCAGCGCAGGTCATCATCCTGCCAGAGCTGTGACAAGGTTCCCCCAGAGAGCACCTGTTCCAACTTGAAACGCAACGTAGACTCAATATTGTGTGCAATCAGCTGAGGCACTGCACTCTCCTTGATCGGAAATGGGAGAAAAGGCTCCTGACCAAGTCTGAAAAAGGCCATGGCAATCTGACGCAGTGGCAAACAGACGTGACTGGCACGCTTTTGTCCAGTCTGTGGATTGCAGCAACATCCTCTTTGTTGATACACTGTGTCTGTCAGAGCCTGAACCAGCCCTTTGGAAAGTCTCCACAACCGGGCATGAGAGACCTGTAGATGGCAGGCAAGGTCTGCTGCTCGATCATACTTTCGTCCACAGCAAGCACATTGAAGCGTCAAATGAAGTTTCTGCATGCTCTTGGAGAGCAGGTCCAACAGTCGTCCAGAAAGACACGCCTCTTGAAGCTCCATGGAGACCGGCTGATTCTCGGTGCAGGCGTCAGGGTTAAAGTGACGACAACGTCCTTTCACAATGTGGGACCGCAGTCCCTCCAGTGAGGAGTGAATGGACCCGCAGTGTGTGCAGGCCGGTGAGGTCTCTGTGCCAGTCATGCAGTCCCTTGCTGAGTTGAAAGTCAGGCCTGCAAGTCCATGAACAGTCTGAAGATGTTGCGTCAGCTCAGCCGCTGTCGTGAGGAGCTCGAGGCAAATCTGACAGCGTAGCTGCTGTTGCAACGGCTCTGCATGTGATGCATGGATGCCTGCCCCATGCAAAATCAACACTGAGAGTTGCAGCCATACTGGGCAGGTGTGATTCTTGTAGGCAGCACCGCAATATTCACATGGACTGTCGTTGCAATGCAAATTTATGAGCTGAATGCAACGTTCCGGAATCAGTGGTGCCAGGTCTGCATGAGTCTGTCGTAGATGTGCCAACATCTCTTGAGTCCTGGACACAAATTGCCCACAGAGGATGCAGTGCCTTGCAAGATAGTGGCATGCAGTCTGATTGCGAGAAATGCGCTCAGGGACCCGATCGTCCAGCAGGATAAGAAGAGCCTCACCCCATTCTTGTTGTTTCAGGTGTGCCAATTCTGCTGAGGTGATCACACGTGTGCCCCGCAAAATTTCTTCTGCTGATGGCATCTTGCCAGACCGAAGAGCCACTGTCGTAGTAGAAGACAAGGATGGCAGGGTCGTTGCCAAAGGTCCAGCAAACAAAGCCTGGCAACCGCGCTCTACATGGATAGTGAAATTTCTCCATGTGGCAAAACGTGTCAAGCAAAATTTGCACGTGGGAAGACCGTTAAGCATAAATTGTTGTACATCAACCTGTTGTGTACGGTAAGTGCCCACTGCATGCACTTGTGCAATGTCTTCTGAAAGTGGAAACATCAAATGTCTGAAAAGCGCACAATGTACAAGTGATTGGTTGCTCTTGGGCCTGCAGCTTCAAAGGGAGAGTTCCTGTCAAAGTGTCCTGGGCCTCAAGTGAGTCAACTCTGAGCTTCAAAGAAATGAGATGATTCCATCTCAGCGTTTGCACAATGTCTGAATCTGTAGCAACAAGGAGGCGTTGGGTCACCGACTGCAGCAAACTGTCGATTGCACTGTGAAGCAATTGCACAGGCGTAGGCAGTTGATGGTATTGCAAAAATTGAGCATGTGAATGACCTGAATAGAAAGCATGATCTCGGGCAACTGTTCGGAGCATATTGATAATGGTCTTTTGAATCAGTTGTAGACCTCTGTGTGAAATATCCACAGCCAATATGCCGTACATGATGATTGGGAGAATACATGTTTTCCAGATTGCAACCCTCTGTTTGATGGTCAAGCTGTGTCTTTTGCTGAGCCAGGGCTTCAAACGATTGTAGTTGATGCGTGCCAAAGCCAATCTATGGTTCAAAGTGGCATCTTCCACGTCTGTGTAGGTCATCACTGTGCCCAAATATTTGGCTTGTTTCTGCAAAGGAATCAAAATATCATCCATACCCTCAGCATGTAAACGAAGAGCCAGGCCATTTTGAGTGCGCTGCACAAAACGTTGTCTCTGTTTCCGAAAGGCTGTGCCAGTCATCGCCAGGAGTGCAACCGATTTGGATGGATTAACAAGCATGTCAACCGAAGACAAGGTGTGAAAAAGGATGCGAAAAGCTCTGATCATGTACTCCAGTTCCTGGACATTTCGATAAACACAGCCAACATGAAAATCGTCTGCATACACCGTAATGCAGGCTCTGATCCACTCCTCTGGCAAATGATCGGACAGATCGCGCAATAGCAGCACCACAAAGCAGTTGAATAAAAATGGGGCACCTTTGCAGCCCTGTCTCACTCCCTTGCCAATCAACACTGGGGAAAACCCTGAATCATGTGCAACATGATAATGAGTATGTTGATGCCAATGTCCCAATAAGCAGACAATAGACGGGGAGATCCCAAGTTGACCCAACCGTTGGAACAATCTAGTCCTAGAAACCATGTCGAAAGCTCTGGATAGGTCCAAGAATATCTGAGCTCCACCACAAATGGAATATCTCGGAATAGAAAGTGCCCGCTGATGAGGTCCATGCTTTTGGGCTTGCACAAGATCCCTCACCTTCTTGCAATGTTGCGTGACTCTCAGAATACTGTCGAGCCCTGTTCTTCCTGGTAGATATGCCCACAGAGGCCAGCAGGTGATCCAATGAAATGCCTGTGTCATGGCCAGTCTGGTCAGCAGACCTATCACGGCCTTACCAATCGGTTCCTGAAGGGCTATCGGCCGTAAATTGCCCGGATGAACAGGGGGCTTTAATGGTTTGGCTAGAAGGCATAGCCATCCATCCCGCCATGGCTGGGGGATGAATGGGGGATACACATTCCACCAAGTCATGAGTTGCTCATGTAAAATGGGGGCCAACACAAATGCAAGCTCTTTCCATACCATGCCAGGAATGAACGGGGCTGCAACGCCTGTCGAGAGGGGAATCCTACTCAGTTCAGCAGCCAATTCACTCACTGCAAAAGGTACTCCTGGTGGAGAAGAACCAGGCAAGTCAAAAGTGCATGGTCCCTTCCAAGTTTCAGCAACAAAATCAGTCAGCAGTGCTTGAGATTCTTCAGGGGTAGCAATGTGCCCAGCAGCATTACGTAGTTGAATACGTCTGTGGGGTTGCTTAGGTGAGTGCCTATTGATAGTGCGATACAAAGCAAACATGTCATGTCTGGAGGCCGCATCAGAAGCTTCGGCAACCAAGTCCTGAAATTTCATGGTTCTCAGTGCTCTGGCATGTCTGCGGTGACATCTTGAAAGTGCCGTGAACCTGATCCCATGAAACCACGCCCTGAAAACCCCCAACAAAGTGATTTCTTGTATGGCCTTCAGCCTTTGGAGATGTTCCCATTTGTTCATAATGAGGATTTGTGCTTGCTGCCATGGTTGTTGCACAGGAACCGACTTGGGAATGGCAAAACTGCGATGAAAAAGTGGTTGCATTGTCTGATGCAGTTTGTCAATGTCAAGGGTTCCTGAGGTCGTGGCCTGAGCATGACACTGATCAACCAGGAGTGAGGCCGCATTGATAAAGTTGGTCCACTTCTCAGTCCTTGCAGTGAGGGCCGTGCGGGCCTCCATTCTTTGTCGCATGGAGATCTTCCCTGTTTGATGCTGTGTGGTGCCGCTGAACCAATACCGCTTCAGAGAGAAAAACAGCGGGGCATGCCCCCAGGTGCCACAATGCATGAAAGGAGCATCCCATAGATAGAGTACACGCTTAGCATCTCCATCAGAGCTTGTCAGGCGCGTCAGTGCAAAGTCAATTCTGCTACCTGATCCCTGATTGACATAGCTAGGACCCAATGTCGAGTCCCAAGTGTTCAACACAGAGAGACCATGTTGTTTGACCAGGTCTGAGAAAGTACCCATATCAGGATGCTTTGGGCCCTGGACATTTTGAGAATTCCATCTGAAGGATGCCGTGCCTGTGAGCGTCTGCAGATGTGGGAGACTGCAGTTGAAGTCACCAGCCATCAAAAGCAGATTCCTCCGAGGCAGGTTCCTCAGGAGATGATCCAAGTGGCTCCACCATGTTGCCCTCAGCTGCATATTGGCTTGGGTGCGTAGGCAGGTATGTTGGTAACAGCACACAATGTCAAGAGGGTGGCCAGGCAGCTGAACACGTATGTGAAGGAGGTGTCCAGGAATCACTTCATGCCATTGCAGTTGTGCCGCCGTGCACAGAGATTGAGCAATCATTACTGCAATCCCTGCTTTTCGTTGACCCTCAATACCTGAATGGATAATATGCCACCCATCGCTCCAGGTGTTAAAAAAACCCCAATGCGTCTCCAGTAACATGGTGATCTGAATATTCTGAGCAGAGGACCAAAGGCGAACCTCATCCAGCTTGTGCTGAGAGAGCCCTCCGCAATTCCAGGAAACACATGTCACACGCCCTTTGGGAGCTTTCTTCAAATTGTAGTATTGATGATTCTGCAAGGATCTGGACTGATCAGGCTGTCCCGCAGAGAGCATGTTCTTGTTGGCAAAGTGCATATTCTGGAAGTCAGAAACTGTCATACATTTGCCTTTGTACCACGCAAAGCCACCAGAGATTGCGCGTTTGTAAGCACGCATCAGGCTTCTTTTGAGCACTTTGTGCCCTGGTGTCGACGGTTTCGTGCCGGAGCACACATAGGGCCAATTCCCATGTAGCTTCGTGTCTACTGGAGGCAGACGTGGGTCTTGGAGCATGGTTGACACTCCAGCAGTCTCCATGGGTAGACTGCAACCCTCACCCCTGCACAGCAAGGCCAAGAAAAAGACTAGAAGACAGCCCAGCAGGACTGAGATGACTGTGCACCTGGAATTGGGACCAGGTTGGCGTCCAGTTTGTCGGTTTCTGAGGTGCCCTCGCAGCTGTTTTGCAAAGCAATGCCCACGTGCAAAATCCCACTCAAAAGGTTTCGATGATCTGATGTGTCCAGTGTATCCAAATGCCAATGAAAGCAAATGAAATCGAAGGCGCTGTGTTGTATAACAACCACACTCAAGGGCCAAGGCCAGCAGGAGCAGGATACAATTGAGTGAAAATAAAGTTGTCGCTGTTCGAATGAAAAAAATATGGCAATTGTACACGAAATTGCACCAGTGTCGAGGAGCCAGGCAAAATTGAAATGTTGTGTAGAAGGGCCAGTGAGAAAAAAGGGAGCCCACCCCTGCAACCAAAACCAAAAACCAGGCCAGTAGTTGATAGAAAAGGGAGCCAACCCCTGTTGTCTGTAACCGCTGGGCCAGTGAATGATGTTGGGAGCCCACCCCCAGCAAACGAAAAATGATCTGAAGGGCCAGTAAAATAAAATTAAGGGAGCCCACCCCTGCACCAAATAAAAGCAAAGCCTGGGCCAGAGTTGCTAAAAGTCGGGAGCCCACCCCTGTCCAATCAATGTAATACTCGACGCAGGCAGAGAAGTCCCAGACAAGGTCAATGGGACAGTCTGGAGCGCCAAGAAGAGCACGAATATTCCAAAATGCCAAATGTTGTGCCAAAATCGGAAAATTGTCAATGGAACAATCAGATCGGAAGTCCACTCCGAGCAATTCCCTGTAGCTGGTTCTCTGTAGTGCTTGGCCAGTCAGTTGCCGGGAGCCAACCCCGCAGTATGCACTTACAGAGAAGAACCCCTCTCGGGTATGTTGAGCAGTAATACCAAGCCAAAAATAGTGACCACCCCTCGAAAGCAAGATGTCACCAGGTGATTCAATTCCTTCCAAAAATGTTGCCGATGGTTGAAGGCTGCAAAACAGGCAAGTTGTGGCTATCCAAAAAATCAAAGTGCCAAGAAAGAGGGAGCACCACAACCGCCTGAAATATTGAAGCTGGATCGCCGTTGTTGCAGTGCCAGCCGAGGCTGGAATACACCAGGCACTAGCAAAGGAGAAGAGACCACCAGGGAATGATCAAAGCTGCAATGGCTGGACAAAAACAAGCAAAAATCGGTCGTGGGGCACGCGGTGTCGCTGAGACACTGTTTGAGGGCGCCACTCGTGGACGCTCAGGGGCTTGTGTGTGTGTGTGTGTGTGGGGGGGGGGGATCCCGTACCCGCAGCGGCTTGAACATATCTTGAATCATCTCGAATCACAGATCCCTCTACCATGAAATTGCAACAAATTTCTTAGTGGCTGCGTGCAGTGTGGCCAGGAGAAGCGAAGCCCTACTTCACCCGCCTCTTTGATCTGAAGGGCAACTATGCTTGGAGAAGTCGGGTTGCCGATCCGATCAAAGACTTCGTCGCTAAGCCCAACCATATTCAAGAGATGAGAGTTGTAGAGATAGTATAGAGATTGAGGGCATAGGACAAGATAATTCAACCAGACCGGTGGAATTGAGTTTGGTTGGTTGTCCTGGCGATGTTTGGACTGTGAGGTTTGGAAAGACACGAACTTCAAACATATGTTTCCGACGGGTTTGAATCTCACACAGGCCTGGATGCAAGCAGGGTCACTGTGTGAAATCCGTGGTCACTGTGTGAAAGCTGCAGTCAGACTTCCTTGGAAGTTCGGACAGATGAGCTGTGTCATTCAGTATGCAGCCTGGGGCTGCGCAAGGTCATGTTTCCAAATGGCAAAGGTGACTTCTCCACATTCAAAGGCCGGATGGCTGGTTTTGATGAGGTTATTTTATGGGTTTCCTTTCTTATCCATCTTATCCCCCTGAACCTGGTTGCCAAACGGTAAATACATGCGTGTGAGCATGCATGCAAGGGATTGAACAAGTATAAAAGTATCCAACAGTTGTGAATGCATCAAACAGCAAAAAAAAGATGCAATGCAGCCCACGAACGCAGTCACGTAAAACACGTTTGTGAAACGAGTTATTTGAGCAGTATGGGCAGTCTGGTATATTTTTCGCCTTTTACCGTACCAATGCACTGTGGAATGTGGAAGTGGGTGGAATGCAAAGTGTGGAGTGTAAAGCGTGGAGCAGTGTAAGGTGTAAAGTGTGGAGTGTAAAGTGTAAAGTGTATAGTGCAGAGCGTGGAGTGTAAAGTGTGAAGTGTAAAGTGTAGAGTGTGGAGTGTAAAGTGTAAAATGTACTGTAAATAAAGTGTCAAGTGTGGTGTGGAGAGTGTAAAGTGTCAAGTGTGGAGTGAAGAGTGTAAGGTGTAAAGTGTGAAGTGTAGAGTGTGAAATGTAAAATGTGGAGTGTAAGGTGTAAAGTGTGGAGTGTAAAGTGTGGAGTGTAAAGTGCGGAGTGTAAAGTGTAGAGTGTAAAGGGTAAAGTGTGGAGTGTAATGGGTAAAGTGTGGAGTGTAAAGTGTATGGTGTAAGGTGTAAAGTGTGGGGCAGTGTACGGTGTAAAGTGTGGGGCAGTGTAAGGTGTAAAGTCTGGGGCAGTGTAAGGTGTAAAGTGTGGAGTGTAAAGGTAAAGTGTAGAGTGTAAAGTGTATAGTGTAAAGCGTGGAGTGTAGAGTGTGGAGTGTAGAGTGTGGAGTGTAAAGTGTAAAGTGTGAAGTAAAAAGTGTGGAGATCCCTGTTGGAATTTCCCTTATAATTTGGAAGGGGTCGACCCTCTTATAAATGGTTTATATAGAGAGGCATTTTGTAGTTACAAGAAGCCCCCTTAACCGGGGCATTTTGTAACATCAGACCTAAAAGCCAAAGTTGTACATTTTGAAGTGTTCATGTTGTAAGAGTTTTGAGGGGCCAACTCATTCTATAAGACCATCAAGTTTGTTTGTTTGTTTGTTTGAGGCTTTTTGGAAGCTCAAGATGCTGGCATTAAACATTTAAAAAAAAAACAAATCACTCAGCAGGGTGTGCAATGACATTTTGTAAGGAGATGTTGTCAGGAGTAGAAGAACCATTATGTAAGAATACGTGCTTTTTAGGCAAATGATTGTTCAGATCTGTACATGTTTTTGGTGCCGGGCATCTGAGAGGCTCACGACTGTTGTCATTTTTTGCATCATACTATCAACATAACATTGCATGGGGGGTGGGAAGGGTGGAGTGGGGTGGGGTGGGGTGGGATAATAACGTCATTGACACGTGAACACATACGTGATGCTACAGTACTGTACGCTCTTCTCTTGCACTTCCACACATACGTCATGCTACGCTACTGTAGGTCCTCTTGCATTTCCACAAATAGGTTATGATAGGTTCTGGTTTTGGGGCGAGTGTTGCATTCATGCCTTTCAGGATATTTCCGTACTGTCCTCAAATGTCCGGCATCTGTGGCATGCATGTTAATAAAATTATGTGTATGATGGTGCTGATGGTGATTATGATGATGATGATGATGACGACGAGGATGACGATGCCGATGACGATGACGATGAAGATGATGACGGGGATGATGATGTTGATGATGATGATGATGGTGATGTTGTTGATCATGATGGTGGTGGTTTTGATGATGATGATGATGATGGTGATGATGATGATGATGAAGATGATGATGCTGGTGATGATGATGATGATGATGATGGTGATGGTGTTGGTGATGGTGTTGGTGATGGTGATGGTGATGGTGATGGTGATGAAGAGGAGGAGGATGATGATGGTGATGATGATGATGATGACGATGATGATGATGATGATGATGGCGATGACGATGACGATGACGATGACGATGGCGATGGCGATGACGATGACGATGACGATGATGTTCATGACTGTGCGGCTGATGAAACTAAAGTTTAGTTTTTGAACCCTTTCAATTCCCCCTATAAAATTCTTGAAAAGTGACGACAGCTGCGAGCCTCTCAGATGCCCGGTACCATGTTTTTGATTCGACTCAATCATTTGATAGCTGTTTTGGTTGTTTTCGAAACCACAGCGCTGACAAAGCAAAATGTAAAACACCCTTTCATGGCAGCTTCCTGGGGCTACAAGCACTTTGTCATTTTGTAAAGCACAGTCCAAGTTTTCTGGCAGCCATTTTGAGTTCAATTTCTTTTTGGATTTGGTGGAGGCACCAACTTTCTTCTCAACGGGTGTTGTGTCGGCCAAGGTTCTCTTGCAAGTTGTAAGTTTATCTCATATATTATCATATTGTCATTTTAAAACATGTTCTTTCGTGTTCAATTGTTTGTACGCATGTGATAACACAAACGCAAGACATGAGGACAGGAGTTCTGGTAGGCAATGATGCCAAAGAAACAAAAATACAAAAATACAAAAGGTGGCAAGGAAAAGGAATCCTTACAAAACGGCTGCTTGAAAATCAACGAGGCCGGGAAAAACAGGGAACCAGAAGTTGTTGCCTTACAAAATGATACCAAAAAAAGCTATCTGAAATCACAATTTCTTATAAAAAGGTCATCGGGTGGGATGCAATATTCATATCATGAAGAAAGTTGTCACCTTACAAAATGCTGACGGATTTTAGAGTCGAATGTGGGTAAGAAGCCGGGCGCGACCCCTTTCCCCAAATTCGAACCCGGATGTGTGGAGTGTAAAGTGGAGAGTGTGGAGTGTAAAAGTGGGATGTGTAAAGTGTAGAGTGTAGGTAGGGTGTGGAGTGTAAAGTGTCAACTGTAAAGTGTGGAGCGTAAAGTGTATGGAGTGTAAAGAGTGTAGAGTGTCCGAAATACTGCCCCTGCCACGCAAAATGACACTCTCGCGATGCCCCACGCTTGCCACGCGATTTGCACATTGTCACCACTTGACGCAGCCCTGACAGTGCGATTCGCCAAAAAAAACACACGCAACGCGCTGCCGCGACACGTCTCTGCGCCTGCCACGCAAAATGACGATGGAGGTCTCCAAAGTGCTGCGCCTGCTGCGAAAAATGCAACTCATCTTCTGACAACGATGCAAGAGTATTGCGCCTGTCGCACCAAAAAAAAGATTTTGGACATGTTATGAAACATGTTGGAATGTCACAAAGTGCCACGCCTGCCGCGCAAAACGTTATTACAACCTGGTTTGAAACCTTCAAAAAATAAGAGGTTTTTGCTTCCCCCATAGGCACAGGGACGGCAGAAGAAAACCAGAGAATCGAGACGAGACATGTTGTCTCAAAAGTCTCAAAACGAGCATTTCGGGCAAGACTTCCTCAAATTTTCACACTTTGCAGCTACAAAATCAACGTTTTCTTCCGAGTTTTCTCATGAACCTCAAAATTTGCTAGCTCAAAATCAATGTTTCGTGTGAGACTTCCGTGAATTTTCATCACATCTCACAAATGGCAAGCCTGCCACGGAATTTGCACGTTGTCACCACTTGACGCAGCCCTGACAATGCGATTCGCAAAAAAACACACGCAACGCGACGCCGCGACACGTCTCTGCGCCTGCCACGCAAAATGACGATGGAGGTCTCCAAAGTGCTGCGCCTGCTGCGAAAAATGCAACTCATCTTCTGACAACGATGCAAGAGTATTGCGCCTGTCACACAAAACGGCTTCAGACACGTTATGAAACATGTTGGAATGTCACAAAGTGCCATGCCGGCTACGCGACGTTTGAAACCTCCAAAAGTGACCACTTTTGCAGAACTCGGCATAGGCATGGCCATATTACATCATATTACCCTCATGACAGTCGCTCGCGGACACTTGCGAACGGTTGCGGACACAAAAGCAATGTCGAGCAAACACGTTTCAACCCCCAGACCCCCAAATTAAAACGAGATCCCTTCCAGAAAAATGCCAAGAGACATCAAGAGGTTGATGAAGATCCAGCAATGGCGCGGTCCTACTCTTGCAAAGCAACCTTGCCTCCCAGGGACAACCCTCAGTGCGCCAACCAACCTCAAACCCTCATGGGTCAACACCGTATTGGCCTAGCATAGGGACGACATGGATCCTGCGACCTGTCCCTGCCGCAACGCGTGTTGGAATGAAACTGGTCCAATCACTTCAAGGCTGTTTTGGTGCAGCAATTTCCGCATCATGTAGAATCTCAATGATGGATATCAGATATAGTTGTGGATATGTCAAGCACGGTGCTGTTCCAGACGTTGTACGTATTGCGTTCAGTGCAGATCACGCAGAATTTTGTGTCGTGAGTCCAATAATAAGGTGTTTCTTGTATGTTTATTGTGGTAAAAGAGAGACCTTGTGGTTGCTAGTGCAATGACCGAGGACAATAAATATGATGTTGTGTGGTTCGTTGGTGTGACAGTCTGTACAGGCTGTATTGCCGGCTGTGGGCAAATGCACGTTGCTTTCAGATTTGCATGCATTGGCTGTGCTGTTGAAAACACACTTGTCAGCACTTGTCAGCATGTCATTGTAATATCAAAATGTTGGTGACTTTACCTGGTCACCATCAAAATGTTCAGTAAAATGAATTTCCCATACTTTTTTCAAGTGAACATGGACAGAATCCAGTCGTCCACCTTCGAAGCCTCCTGCGGAGGTGATTTGGCTGCAAGCTATGTTGCAAGGTGCAGATGGTGGGGCAAGTTCCTAGTCAAGTTCCGCCCAGAGCGGGGTCAAACGAGCAAAATAGGCACCAGTAAATGCTTGAAAACAAGCACCAACCTGGGACACAACAGATCCTTCATTGAAGACCCAAACACATGCAGCTGGACAGTTGTGGACAAGTGCCGTTCACGGGGCAGATCATGAGCTGTAAAGGCTTTTTTTAACAACTTGAAGTTTTTACCAATGATTTGTCGCTGTTTGTCCTTCTGTGTCATTGGGGAGGATCCTGTACTCGGACAGCAGGGAGCTCGCAAAATTAGGTGAGGAGCTTAAGTGATAAGTATGCATCGAAGCCTTCCTTTTGTTGGTTTGGCTTAGACTTCCGAAACATGCTCTTCGAGGACTTATGGACTACTCCTTGCTTCTTCATATCAGTACTTTCAGCAGAAAGACAATGAGAAGCGCAGAGTTGGAAGCCGGCACCTCGTCAAGTTTAGTTCGACAGAAGCCTTCGAGATTTTAGTTGTCCAGGGGTTGTTTGGTTGCTCAGCCCATTCAGAATCAATCATTGTTACACAAACAGGACAGGTGTTGTGCGACATGTGCGACAGGATAAAACGCAAAAAATGATTACTTTATGTTACTGTAGAATTTAGAATGGTGTAGATTGGTTGGATGTATGACTGGTATGCCGTTGGCTGTTCAGTGGCTTTGTGCTGGGACTGGGTTGGGAGGAAGGCCTTTTGTATATTTGCTTATCATCTCTCACTCCTGTCAGGTTTCAAGAAGCTCAACCCTGACAAGCCATGGGGATTCGCAAGGGCCATGACCCTTGGCTTGTCAGAAAAGAGTGGCCACTGGACCATAGCACAAAGCAAGTATCATACGGACATGTTGTCCAAAACAGCAGTATCCCGTTGTCCAAAATAGCGCAAATCTGAAGTCTTAAGGGTACTCCAGCAGTCCCGGTCAAGTTGCACGCTGCAGGTGCAAGCAGAGAGAACAGATCACAGTCATTTTGTTGGTAACTTTGCCTGAGAAGCTATTGTGCTCATTGTACTCTCAGGCAGTGGTTTGCCAAGTCCCTTTCATGTTTCACTCCTGTTCTGTGCGTAAAAGCTTGACACGTTAGGATCCACGGCAAGGAGAAGCTCTTTGCAATCTCATGGGGCATCATAGATTTGTTGATGCATGAGAAGGAGTCTCAGTAGCAGTTGCGGGCAAATGGTTTCTTGGATCCTTCAGACCATACGGATGATTGTTTGCCGCTGCTGCTGCTGCTGCAATCTTAGTGCGCGAGCAATTCAGTCACATGCTCAGGAAAATCGCGGCTTTCTGAACAAGCTGCTCGGGCATACTGTAACAGAGCTAAAGCTGGTGCACCAATCCCAGATCGGCACAACGTAAAAACGAGCCATGTAGAACAACTTAATCCACTCTTGTGTCCAACTGTTGTTTCAGTTTGTCACATGAAGTCCAGCATAGTAGGTGGTGCAGGAAAGCAAAGAAAGGAGAGGTGAGACAGCTTCTGTGGCTCTGTTGGGTTTTTGTGGGGACTTCGCAACTCTACTGCATCAGTATCAGTACTGTATACTGTGTAGGTCTATTATGGTCTTATTGTTACATGAAGTTTCGAAGAGAAGCTTCTACTCCCCACCCCACGAATGAATTCATTAATCATCCCAGTGCGTCACCAATCATTAAATTCTTCTCCTTCGGTTCTTGCGATTTTCCCGAAGCCAGCCGAGAGCGCTAGGTTGAGGTAGGTTTGGCGGACGAAGTGAGTATCGGCGGTTGTGGGGTGAGCTGGCAGAATCGCCGAAATTAGGTTCGAAGAAAGTTGGTGCAGACTTTTTTGGGGAGGCAATGTACTGTGAGGCAAAGTGGTGACGACAGGGGTTTCGATTCCTCCTGGGTTCGTGTGAAAACTGGAAAGGCAGTGTCATGATTGTACCATGCATGCAATCGCACGGAGAGGAGGGCAAAGCATACTTTAGTCACTTGTGTAAGTTTGAGGATGTGCGAAAGTGAGTGCCAGGGTTGTGGGGTCGCATAAAGATGTTTGAGAGGAGCGAAAGGCATTGTGAAAATGTATCATGAATGAAGATTATGATGCGATTCGCTTTTTGAAGGCTTGCTGCAGTTAGAAATGCAGTTTGCGGTGATGTGTAGTAGCATTTAGACATGCTCTTTAAGGAGAGAACGGCACCACCAAAACCTTTGGCACATCTGATTTGGAGCTGCCAGCAAGCCTGAAAAGCAGTGTCACGCACACAGGTGTACAAAAGAGGGGGAGGCAAGTGTAGTTTTTTTGCAATTTTTATGCTTTTGCCCTCAAACTTCTTACCCTTGCTCCCCACAAAGTTTTTCTTTTCTTCCTTCATTATTATTCCATACTGTACCCTCGCTCTCCTGAGCCCGGAGCGGCTTTTACACCTGTTGAACTCTCTCCTGTTCCCCCTTTGTCTCTCCCTGTCTCTTACCCATGCCCACTTCGCTCCCTGTGCTGCTGGCTTTCATTTCACCCTTATCACTGGTCACCTTCTCGGACTTCCGTTCACAGCCTTCCCCCAAGCCTTGAATGTATCAAAGATTGTTCATCATGAATCATAACGCTACACAGCCCATTGATCATATTCAGGAAGTTCAGTTGCAGTCGTCATAGTCGTCCAATGTCGTCCAAAGAGTTGCCCAGTCATGTTGCCTGTTCCACCGGTGTTTGTTACTGCACTATTTCAGGTTCGCCTCAGGCTTTCAGATGTCGGAATGCCGCGTGACTGATCTTGATCCAATTCCTGCACTTCCATACTGGACCCTTGCGGCTGGATTTCTTCTTGCAGTCAAGGGCACACGGCTGGAGGTGACTATGAACTGCTACTGTACAATTGCTCCGTTTCCCAAAAGTCATACAGCAGACAGCAGCACAAGTCTTTAAATTTTCTTTAAATTTCTTGTTCTCGAACATTCTAGAACCATCAAAATACAGCCTTCCCCAAAGCGATTTGACATAGCTGATGTGACCATGATGTGAAGGGGTCGCATCGGCTTCCCCGCATAGGAATTATGCTGCTCCAAAAAAGTTGATGTGACTAAAGGCCTTCACTGTACCACTGGTCTAGGTAGACAGACCGTGCCATGACAACAAAGAAATCTATAGAAATCCAAGTTGACATTGCTTGATTTACGATAAGTAGTACTATTACGATGATTTACGTTGTTCCACCTTGTTATCCTCCTTCTACATATTTCTATATCAGGTGTCAGGGCTTGGATGGTTTGGCAATGTTTGGCACAAGGTTTTTAGATCTGCGCCAGGATTCGATTCTGCCGTATGTTCGGCGTGCAGCAAAGGCCGCTCATCTCCAAATTAGGTTGGAGACGACCCAGGGATTTCCCTGCATTCTGCGATTTCATTGTGCTGCCGGAGGGGAAACGTATGGAAAATATTATTATTGCTATTATTACTGGTATGTTGTTGTTTATGGCATTCGATCTAAAGGTCTTTGTAAGGAGTTTTAATTGCGAAAGCTGTGCGTGTTGTGCTGGAAACCCTCGCGAAAGTTTCGCGAAAGTTGGATATTTTGAATCACCATCATTGTTTACATTACAGCTTGTTAAGGGCTACCACCTCCTGCCGCCTGCCGCCCGGGGTCCGGCAGGAGAATGGTACCGCACGATAGGTAGCAGCCAAGCTTCCGAAGGTGAGCCAAATACCATGGTCTGCCGCTGGTACTGCCTAACGTTGCTTTCTGAAGTCTCAAGAAACAAGCTCCAAATGCAGCAGCCAAGCTTCCAAAAGTGAGGCTTTGCAAGAGCCAAACACCAAGGCCCCTGGTGTTTGCTTTTCCTCTGATGCGTGCATTTTGAAGGGGGTGGCCCAGTAGGCCTTTCAACAAATATCCTAATCAGAAACAACCTGTCCTGAGAAGGGGATTCCATGATGCTAGCTGCATGCTTACAATGCTATAAAGAAGTTATCCGTGATAATTTTGTGTGATTTGGCAGGTGATGAATGAATCTTCATAAGAGGAGTTGTTGCTCAACATGGGGTTCCGCGAAAGATAAAAGGGAGTTCGCGAAAGATTCGCGAAAGAAGTTTTTTATTCGCGAAGAATGGCCGTTCCCGGATAAAGGAAGTTTGATCAACCATCATGTATGTTTATGTAATCCCTTTTCCCTATCACTAAAAGTCCCTTTACCCAAAAAAAACCACCCTTAAATATCCCTAAATAATTAAAACTACCCCAGATTATTTGGCTTCGCAAAATTCAGATTGGTCAATTTGACTTTTCACTGATCCCCTGTAGAAAACAATTGAAAAATTAAGGTCCCTTTAAAGGTTCTACCCCCTTGATAATAAAAATTAGTTAACCCCGGGCGTTTTTTATTCAGAAAGGCTTGTTGCCAGCGCTGAAATCACCAATTGCTTGTATATATTCATTGCTGTTTGTCAATATATTACGTGATCTGAAGTGATATTGTGTTTTTGTCCATGCACGAGCCTTTGCTATTATATAAAAACATTGGGTTTCAGAGACATTTCGTTGCAAGTGATGATCGGCAAAGTGGCAAGGGCATATTTGGCGTCGCAAGCGACCGGCAAATTTCTGCAGAAAGGTTGGTGGCCAGCACTGAAATCACCAATTGTTTGTATAGATTCATTGTTTTTTGTCAATATATTACATGATCTGAAGTGATATGGTTTCTCTTTGTCCATGCACGAGCCTTTGCTATTATATAAATTCATGGGGTAGAGGCATTTCGTCGCAAGTGATCGCCAAAATGGCAAGGGCAAATCTTCGTCGCAAGTGAATGGCAGACCGCTATGAGAAATCCAGAAAGGCTTGTTGTGGGCGCGCAAAAGGCATTTTTTTCCCCAAATACATTACATGGTCTAAAGCAATATTGGCCTTTTGCTGTCCATACACGAGCGTTTTCTAGTGGAAATAGAGCTAAGTGTGGTTCACCACCCAAAATAAACCGAAAAAAATGGGGACTGCTTGGATGTAGGCATGTTCAGACTAGTCTGGAAAACATTGTTTTTTAGTTTGTTTGTTGGTTTCGTTGTTTTATGGGCTGTTGATTTTTTAGGATTAATCCAGATTAATCCAAACCAAATCTGATTCATCTTGCCCCCAAGGCATTCTTGCCAAGTCATTATTTTCAAAAAAAATATTGTATGCTAAACATGCGCAGTATTCCTTGGGGATGCAAAATTATGTTTTTGGCGAAGGAAACATTTCCTTCAAATAAAGGGTGTTCCTGTCCCAGTAGAGCGCAGCTGGAGTTCTTTGAAAGGAGTGTTACATATTCCGAAAGAAATGGTGGATTGAAAGGATCGTTACATTTTTCAAAACATTGTGTAATTTGTTTAAAGAGGCAGCTGATTCAATGTTCTTTTTGGTGAGTAAAATGTTTCCTTCAAACAAATGGTGTTCCTTCCAAACAGATGGCAGCTGGGTTTTTTTGAAAGGAGGGTTACATGTTTTAGAAATGGTGCTACTTTCAAACATAAAGGCCAGCTGAGTTTCTTTGGGGAATGTTACATCTTTAAAGGACACAATGCATATGTTGACACTGTTTCTGTTGTTTAAACTAGTTGTTTAAATACGATTGCAACTTTAACTTAAGCATTCAATCTTTGAAAAAACGGCGTTTGCCTGAAGGAATGTTACCATGATAAAGGAAGAAGACAGGAATACTTTTTGGTTGACGTGGATGCTTTGTAAGGAAACCTGCGCTTCTTTGAAGAACCTCATTTCTTCAAAGCATTGTTTGCTGGGAATGTAGCACAGGCACACATGCTGCGCCGCGCAGCTCAAACTCATACAACAGTATATGTAAAATTCGAATTTGGTTGCAATTAAACATTAAATGTACTTCCACTATTAACTAGAATATAACTTCAACGGTGACAGGCTGCATCATGGCAGGGCATTGGTGTGATGCCACCTGGCTACAAAGAAAATATACGCGATGGATTTTTGCTTGAATACACTGGTGGCACTGCATCAAGGGCAACCAATCTATTGAACATATCCACAACCTGTTTGAAACACCAGGGGGTTCCTTACTTTTCTAACTAAAATAAGCCTTGTAGATTGTAGATAAATTAAGGTTATGTTTCAAAGACGACTCATTTCTTTCTAAGAGAATGTGGTATTGTACCACAATCATATGGAAACATGACAGTAGCGTATCCCCAGGTTTCAAAACAAGATATTTCCAATTTTCATGATGTTTGCCACACAAAAAGAAGGACCTGAACTTATCCATTGTAATTTGCATTTTATGTCACATAGATTTCTGTTGCACCCAATGCTTCAAAGTGGAGATATATCCTGTTTTTCTTCTAGGGTGGAATTGATTCTTGGAATTTGCCACATTTTGAACCTAATGACTACCATTGTTCATCATTGTTCTAAAGGAATGCACTTTACAGCTGAATATGCGTTTTTCTCTGGGTCAGGCCTCCTCCTTTCAAACATCCTATTTGACTATGACCATTTCCCACAGGATACAAGAACATGAGGAAAGCCTACTTTCCAGCGCTGGCAACAAGCCCCTCCCTTTTTATTAGGGTCCGTTTCTTTCCAGCGCTGGCAACAAGCCCCTCCCTTTTTATTAGGGTCCGTTTGTTAAAATCAACAGTTTTAGTTTTTTTACTTAAGGCCGGCTTTAAATTTAATATTGCTTAGAAATCCAATTTTTGGCAATATGTTCATTAGATAGATGTTAAAAAGGAATTTAATCGATTTTGAAATCGAAAATTTTCGTTTTTTTGATTAAGGTGTTTAATTTAAATATTAGGGGAAAGCTGCGAAATCCAAGTTTTGGCAGTATTTTAATCAGATTTGAAAAAAGGAGTTTAATCGATTTTGAACTCGAAAATGTTAGTATTATTAAGTTAAGGTTTTGATTTAATATTAGGGGAAAGCATCGAAATCCAATTTCCGGCAATTTGTTGATATATGTTTAGTATGTTTTAATTAGATTTAGAAAGGATTTGAATCGATTTTGAAATAGAAAAGAAAAGTTCTTTTAATTAAGGGTTTTCAATTTGATATTAGGGGAAAGCTTCGAAATTAAATTTTCGGCAATATGTTAATTCGATTTTAAGGATTTTAATCGATTTTGAAATCGAACATTTTAGTTTTGTCAAGTAATATTTAAACTTTATGCTATTATTATGGGCCAGCTTCTACCCAAAATATAAAATACCTCTTAAGAATAAAAACTACCCCTACATTTTATTATTGGGGGGAGCGGAGGGTACGTGTAATATATTGGGGTGAAGGGATTATGTTTATGTGAGTTTATGTGTGTTTGTGTGTTATAGCCTGCCAGGGCTTTTCGGCTGTGCTAGTACTTGGTTTGCATTGCAGTGTTGTTTGGATTTTTTGGGGCATCTTCATGGGACGGCTGCAGACAGTCACGCCCGACAGAGAGAGAGAGAAGAGAGAAGAGAGAAGAGAGAGAGAGTAAGTAGTATACCTCTTGGCCATGTTGCCACACCTAAACAGAATGGAAAAAAGGATCTGTCTAATTCTTTCTAAGGAATGTGCCCTTCCAACTTATTGCAGTTGGAACTAATTCAGTGTTAAGCTCACGTGTTTGAGGTATCGAAATTCCAACAGAGCCTGCGTTTCCTGCCTTGGCGAATCACCAGGCAAAGGTCACTTGGCTCTCTATGATATTCTCAGGAACTGGGAATGGCTGACGCATCAGCTACAGCCATCACTTCCTCTGAGACCTACAATCGCCAAGGGGTCGGATTGAGCTAGGCAGCTAATGGCAGCTAGACGTATTTTCGACACCAATCAAGAAAAGCATTGGTTGCTGACTGCAGCTAGTGCCTTTGAGTCTGGGACATCAGACATGATGCGGGAGAAACTGAGGTGGCAGAAGGCAACAGGATTGTTTTGTTGGGGTCATGTGACATTCTGGCCATCGTTGCTGCCCAGGCTACACCTACTTTCCCTCGAAGTTTGAGCCTCCAAGATTCAAGACCTCTCTATCTTGCAGCTCTAGCTCTGGGTGAGATCAGCCTTGGTCATCTTGGTCGTTTCACACCGCGGGGCGACTGCAGAGATTGCAGAGTTGCAGGGTGCTAGGAGTGATGAGCCCAAAAAGTTGGCTCCTTGCAGCTGCTCTGCATGGATCTTGATTGCTCTTGCGAGGGCCACGTCAAACTGACTGAAGGAATCAACCCACCAAGGATAAGTTCCAAACAAAAGTTGCACCCTTTTTGCAGGTGCTCTGCTGTACTTACACCTTCTCGACCCAGCGAGGCCTTCCATTAGCATGTCGCAGTCTGATTTAAGGAGAGTAATGTTAGAAGAGCTGTTCTGGATGGTCTGGGAATGTTTAAGGAATTCTTTTCGCCGTGCCAAAAAGTTCAGAGGTCTGATCAACGTGTTTTGATTTCTGGGCGTGAGTGATTCGGGCCCCTTGGGCTGGCAGGTCGCTTGCCGCTTCAATCGGGCAGATGCAGGATGGCTTAGCATCCCACGGGCACCTGCCACGGCCAATACTGCCCAACGATGTGTTTTCGCCCCTAATTTTTGTTTTTACAGGAATGCACTATAATGTACAAAATTTTAGCACGCGTCATTTGCTTTGCGGCTCGACTTCAATGCCCTTCCAGCGTCAGACGACTGCCTTCAGCCCAGGGACAGTGGTTTCCATGCAGAAAGGCTCCAACGAAGCAGGCCGAGATTGTAAGTGGCACAGTGGCATCCAGTGGAGTTTGGTTTCGGTAAACATGCAACTGGTTTTGCGTCCAAGCAAGCTTGGCTTGATTATCCCCACGCACTTTTGGAATCCAGGCCTATGGATTGAGCAGCTCAAGATCCTACTCAGAAGTTCACATCTAAGACCGCTTGGAAGCCCTCTTTTGCCCCACAGATTTTTCAGACAGTCCGTACACACTCGTTTTATATTTGTTCCTAGAAGACATGAGGTTGAGAATAGAAAGTGCGTTTATTAGTTTGATTAAAACAATAAACTATAATCGAAGGAAGTTTAGAAGTGAAACTTCCGACAATATGGACAGTTGAAAAGCAGAGGTGAGAAGAGTCAGAAGAGAAAAGATCAGAAGAAAGAAGAGGTAGATGCGCGAAAAGATAGGAAAGTCGCGATTCACTGTGTTTTTCCAATGATTTGTGGCTCCGGAGGGTCGAAAAGTAGGCTCGCTAAAGCGGCGGGTGCGGAGCCAGCTGGCCAGATGAGACATGAAAAAGTGCATGCCGTTGTGGCGCGAAGCACATTTCCAAGTCAAAATGGACAAAACACTAGAGGAGCGGACCACTTTTGGAAGTTGCGATGTCGAAAAAGTGCACGCCGTTGTGGCGCGAAGCACATTTGGAAGGCAAAATGCACAAAACACACCAATGTCGGACCACTTTTGGAAGTTGAGATGTCGAAAAAGTGCACGCCGTTGTGGCGCGAAGCACATTTCAAAGTGAAAATGTACAAAACACACCATTCTCGGAGCACTTTTGGAAGTTGAGCCGTTGTGGCGCGAAGCACATTTTGAAGTCAAAAGTGTTAAAAACTGACGGTCTCGGACCACTTTTGGAGGCTCGGATGTCGAAAAAGTGCACGCCGTTGTGGCGCGAAGCACATTTCGAAGTCAAAAGTGTAAAAAACTGAGGGTTTTGAGCCTTTTTTGACGTGAAGATGTCGAAAAAGTAGACACTGATTAACTTAACTAACTTCACTAACTTAACTACCCTAACTTCGACGACAACAGCAACAGCAACAACAACAACAACAACAACACAACAACCAACAACAACTACAACTACAACAACTACAGCTACAACAACTACACAACAACTAGAACTACAACTAGAACTACAACTACAACAACTACAACAACAACAGCAACAACAACAACAACAGCAACAACAACAACAACTACAACTACAACAACTACAACAACAACAACTACTACTACTACTACACAACAACTACAACTACAGCTACAACTACAACAACAACAACTACAACAACTACAACAACTACAACTACAACTACAAAACAACTACAGCTACAACTATATGACTGCAACTACACTACACTAATTACATTACACCACAACTACAACTCCACCACGCTACAACTACAACTACAGTTGCAGTACATCACACTACATCCAGCAGTTGTGGGTGAGGTGACCACTGCAACCATTGCAACCACTCCAGCAAACACAACTCCAACCACTTTCGGTCAATCAGTGGATTCGCTCTGCCATCCGTGATTCACAACAACCAACGTCTCCTATAGGTTTCCTATTCTGAAACTTCCGCCACCGCCTTGTGCGGTACTACTGGTAACTATACTATATAATTAATAAATATATATATTTATGGAATCAATCTATCAACTATATGACTATATGATTTTGAAATATTTAACAGATAAGGATAAGGAGATTTATATGTTAGAAGCAAAGGAAGTTTAGAAGAATTTCGAAGTCTAAACTCCGTTGCACGGATTTTCAAAAATTTAAGGGAAAGTACAAAAGTGAAGAGAGTAGAGAATTGATAAGAGTAGGGGTGTGAAGGGATTAGAGAAGTGAAGAGAGTAGAGATGTGAAGAGAGTAGACATGTGAAGAGAATACAGAAGTGAGGAGGGCAGAGATGTGAAGAGGTTACAGAAGTGAAGAGAATACAGAAGTGAGGAGGGTAGAGGTGTGTGAAGAGAGCAGAGATGTGAAGAGAATACAGAAGTGAAGAGAATACAGAAGTGAGGAGGGTAGAGGTGTGTGAAGAGAGTAGAGATGTGGAGAGAAGTAGAGATGCGGAGAGAGAAGAGAGAAGAGATGTGAAGAGCATAGGGACGTGATGAGAGTGGAGAAGTGAAAAGAGTAGGAATTTGAAGAGATTAGAAAAGTGAAGAGAGTAGAGAGGTGATGTGCTTTGCACATTTTGACTTCGAAATGCGCTGCGCCCCACAACGGCGCGCACTTGTTTGAACATCTCAAGTTCCAAAAGTGCTCCGAGGCTGAGGTGTTTTTGATATCTTGACTTCAGCATGTGCTTCGCGCTAAGTCGGTGTGCATGTCATTTCTCATCTCATCAGGTGGCTCTGCACCGGCGGTCTTCCGGGTGAAAAAACACAGCATTTCGCAACCTTACCTTTTTTGCGCCATCTTTCCTTATACCTTTCACTTCTCTGATCTTCTTTCGGCTTCTTTTCTCTTCTCTGACTCTTCCCACCTCTGCTTTTCTATTCTGTCATATTCTGGGAATTGTGATTTCCAAATCCGCCCGCACCGAAGGTGCCGAGGCGTTTTTTGTGTGCCTGCGTGAACCGTTAGCAATTGCATTATAGCTAATAAGCTTTAGCTTGGGGGGGGGCTCATTTTTGCTCTAGAATCCTGTGTTTTTGCATGTTTTTTAAAAGGGGTCAAAATTCTTGATCTGAACCAATATAGGCCAAAAATGGGTCAAGATAGGCTTAACATAGGCGAGCCTAAGATAGGCTCACATGGGGCCAACATAGCCTCAAATGGGGCCAACATACCCTCATATGGGGCCAAGATAGCCTCATACGGAGCTAAAAAGTGCCAACATAGTGCTAAAAAACGTTCAATATGGCCAAACATCCTCCAACATATTAGACTTCCCGAATCCATCACGCTTGGTGCGGGCGGTTTTCGTCGCGAAGCGACCGTGAATATGTCTTTCGGTTAAATATGTTAGATCCTCTTAGGAATTTCCTCTACAAAAAAAGGGCGGGGTCTTGCACGAAATGCTCGTTTTGATGCTCCCACGTGTCTCGTCTCGAGTCTCTGGCTTTCCTGTGGCCTCGCCGTGTCTATGGGGGGACCTGCAAAACCTCTCCTTTTCGAGGTTTCCAAGCAGGTTGTCATGTCGTTTTGCGTGTCAGGCGTGGCACTTTGTGACATTCCAACCTGTTGGATGACGTGTCGAGAGTCGTGTTGTGTTTTGCGTCGTTTTCACAGGATGAATTGCAGTTTTCGTGGCAGGCGCAGCATTTTGGAGATCTCTGTCGTCATTTTGTGTGGCAGGCTCCACAATCTACACTTTACACTCCACACTTTACACTCCACACTCTACGCTTTGCACTCCACACTCTACACTCCACACTCCAAACTTTACACTCCACACTCTACACCTTATACTCTACACTTTACACTCTACACTTTACACTCCACACTCCACACTCCACACTCTACACTTCACACTCCACACTCTACACTCTACACTTTACACTCCACCATCCGCACTCTACACTTTGCACTCCACACTTTAAACTCCACACTGCACACTACACTCCACACTTTCCACTTCACACTTCGCACTCCACACTTTGCTCCACACTGTGCACTCCACACTTTCCACTTCACACTCCACACTTTACACTCTACACTCCACACTCCACACTCTACACTCCACACTTGACACTCACACTTCCCACTCCACATTTTACACTCCAAACTCAAAACTTTTCACTCTACACTCCACACTTCACACTCCACACTCTACACTCTACACTGTACACTCCACACTCTGCACTCTACACTTTGCACTCCACACTCCACACACTACACTTTGCACTCGCTACTTTACACTCCACACCGTACATTACACTCCACACATTACTCCTCACTGTACACTCCACATTTTCCACTGTACACTCCACACTTCACACTCCACACTTCACACTCCACACTTTACACTCTACATTCTACACTTTACACTCCACACTTCACACTCCACACTCTACACTCTACACTGTACACTCCACACTCCACACTCTACACTCCACACTTCACACTCTACACTTTGCACTCCCTACTTTACACTCCACACTGTACACTACACTCCACACTTTCCACTTTGCACTCCACACTCCACACTTTACTCCACACTGTACACCCCACATTTTCCACTGTACACTTCACTCTCCACACTTCACACTCCACACTCCACACTTTACACTCTACACTTTACACTCCACAATCCACACTCTACACTCCACACTCTACACTCCACACTTCACACGCCACACTTTACACTCCAAACTCAATACTTTACACTTTACACTCCACACTTCACACTCCACACTCTACACTGTACACTCCACACTCCACACTCTACACTTCACACTTCACACTCTACACTTCACACTCCACACTTTACACTCCACATTCCACACTTTACTCCACACTCTACACTCCTCACTACACACTTCACGCTCCAGACTCTACACTTTACACTCCATGCTTCGCACTTTACACTCCACACTGCACACTTTACACTCTACGCTTTACACTTTTCACTGCACACTTTACACTCCACACTCCACTCTTTACACTCCACACTCCACACTCTACACTCCAGACTCCACACTTCACACGTTACACTTCACACTCCACACTCCAGACTTCACACTTTACACTTTACACTCCCTCTACACTTTACACTCCACACTCCACACTCTACACTCCACACTCTACACTCCACACTCCACACTTCACACTCCACACTCCGCACTCCACACTTTACACTCCAAACTCAACACTTGACACTTTACACTTCACACTTCACACTCCACACTCTACACTCTACACTGTACACTCCAGACTCCGCACTTTACACTCCACACTTTACATTCCACACTTTACGCTTTACACTCCACACTCTACACTCCACACTCCACACTCTACACTCCACACTCTACACTTTCCACTCCACACTCCACACTTTGCACTCCACCCTGGTTTGAGATGTTCCCAAGGCTTTGCAAGGTCGACAGGGAGATGCGCGGCAGCCTGGCAGGTTGGTTTCAGGTGGCTATGGATGCCGTAGATTGGTTTGTTCCGGAGCATCATCCATCTAT